AAGCTGAATTTCTCAGACCACATTGCTAAAACTGCCCGGTCCTGCAGATTTGCTTTATACGACATTAGGAAGATCAGGCCCTTTCTTTCAACATTCAACACAACTCCTTTTTCAAGCTCTTGTTCTATCCAGGCTGGACTAGAGTTGCAAAAAGGTGGAAAATTTCCAGTATATTTCGGAAATATTCGGAAACTTTCCACTTTGGATAAAAGCGTCTGCTAAATGACTAAATGTAAATGTATCATCAGCCTTATGGTATTTAATGCTAATTAAATCAAGTCCCACCCCATCATTTTCTCGTATCAAATGTGCCGTTTTATTTTGAAATACATATTGTCAGTAAAATGGGTTGTGATGGTAATTCACATTGATTTTTAAAGCTGAAATATGTCATTTCTGCACTATACTGCTGTCCTAAAATGCAAATGATTAGTGCACAGGCAAACTAGGATTAGAGGTTTGTTCTAACCACAAACCGTAAAGGAATAGTTCACCCAAAATGAAAGTTTGCTCATCCTCAGGCCATCTAAGATGTAGATTAATTTGTTTCTTCATCATATCTGGAGAAATTAAGCATTCCATCACTTGCTCACCAATGGATCCTCTGCAGTGAATGGGTGCCGTCAGAATGAGAGTCCAAAAACATCACGATAATCCACAAGTAGTCCACACCACTCCAGTTCATCAGTTAACATCTTGCGAAGCGAAAACTGCTGCATGTTTGTAATAAAACAAATCCATCATTGAGGCTTTTTCACTTTAACCTGATGCTTTTGGCCAAAATAGCTGTCTATAATCTATAATAAAGCTTCCTGGAGCGCTGCTTTGAAACTATTGTATCATAAAGCACTACTAGATGAATAAAAGTGACTTAGCAGCAGAGCGAAACTATTAATAAATTTGACAGGAAAATCTACTTTGTGTTCAACAAACTCATCTTGTTTCTATATGTCGAGATCAGCCTGCAGAGCTTCATCATCTTTAATGGGCACCTGTAATTAGCAGCCATTCACCCATGTTCCCTATTGTGAGCGAAAGGTTGTTCTCATTCTATTCTGGTCTCTAGCATTTATCCCTCGACTTGTGTTATGATGAGCTAACTGATATGGACAGCTGGGCAGTTCTGCACCAGTGCTGATCGCTGCCACCGGTGGCTCTCGCTTTCTCTAATATCAGCTAATTACAGTGGTTAATCAGGCTGGTAATGAGTATGGGCACCATGCCATTTCAATCTGACACCGGTGGGAGTGAAGCTCACTTCCCTGCCAAGCTGATGTCAGTTCCTGCCAGCTCCCCAGACTGCACTGCCATCTTCAGTCCACCTGGCCTGTGAATAATGAGAGGCCAGCGGACATTAACCTGTGTGCTCCTCTTCCAGATTTGGACTATAGTTTAACAGATGCTGGGAGGTGAAATAAAGACGGCTAATAAATATGAGCTTTGGTATTTTTACTGTTATACTATTATCAAACCACTAACCCTAAGCAATAAACTTTAGCTTGTAACTTGAATTTAGAGCAACTAAATAACAGCATCATAGCAATGTGCTAAAACCACCGAGAACACTTTAGCAACCACATAGCGATCCACTCAGGGCATTGCTATCCAGATGCTAAGGTGTTCTTAGGGGTTTTAGCACATTGCTAGGTCGTTGCAGCCACCTTAGCATCTTAGCAACCGCATAAAAATGCCATGAGTTTTGCACAGGGAAAAATCGCTCATGTTTTCATGTTAAACCCAGTCAAATGTAATTAGTTAGCAAAATCACCATCAGGTGGCACAAAGGGACAGTTGATAACACAGCAACACAGCTGGAATTGTAACATTTTCACTTGTAAATAAATAAAGTAGGGTAGCTGTCAAACAATTATCAGCCAGTATATTTAGATTACCTTTTTTTAATATTTAGATTACATTTAAAGAAGTGTGCATTATGCAAAAAAAAAATAAAATATATACAGTATATGATAGAAAAGGTGGATTATTATTAATTATATAAGCCTAGTTCTAACACATATTTTGGCACTATTGTCACAAATGAAAGGGTTGAAACTTACATTAAATAATTCGCTGATGTATTTCAGCAGGTCACGCATACTTATTCATTATCTGTCCTGTTTTTGACACATCTATTCCCGAATACACAGCCCTGCTCATGACATGCCGAAAAATATAATGTCCATAACTTAAGAAACTGTTGATCACTTTTTATTAAATAATTCTGTTATATTAATCAAAACTTGTTTATAATAACTAATGATAATAATTAACTAAAATGATGTATCTTGTGTATAGTAATATAAAACCAGTGTGTGTGAATTACAATTAATATAGACTTATATATATATATATATATATATATATATATATCTTAAAGTGTAATTGTTAATTGAATATGTCATTTTAAATATATATATAATTTAATATACATATATATTTTATATAAATATTTATTGATACCATCCATCTGTCCCTCTTCCAAAGCCCCTCTTGATTTCTCCTCAAACCACCAGCATCAGGCACAAATAGCATCTCGATCGCCCCTCCTCCTTTACATCCCTCCCTCTCTCTTCCTATTTTCTGCATCTCCCTCACTCCGTCAGTCAGTCAGAGGAACATCAGCACAGACAGCCGCTCTGACATTCAGCTGTCCAGACGCTGATTCATTTCACCACACACCAGCTCTGGGTGCAAACTCAGAAGGGGTGTTTGGGAAATTGAAAGGCGTCCTACCTGGGCCAACAAGGACTCCATCATCAGAGAGGTACAGCTTTGCATATTCTACAGTATAAGGGTGTTTTGTGTTGGAATAGTTTCTCTGTAGTTTACAGGTGGAGTTATGTGCTGTTTCTAGAGATGGATGCAAACAGTTGGACTTTTTAATGAATACTTCTCCATTGAGTTTGCACATGACTTATTCTTGTTGTATGTGATTTAGAGTAATGCATGCAGTTTCTTATCTGTTGCTTCATGATTTTTCTCAACTAGATCGTTTGATCCAAGGAAATCACTGCATGCGACTCTGTTATAAGCTATAATTTTCTCTCTAAGAGAAAGAAACGTCTAATTTTCTTAATGCATACATGCAAATGAACTGTAGTTTTAGGAGTCAGTGGTTTGGAGAGATACTGGTCTACATGTCAAGTGATACATGAAAATGATAAATGAAAATAGCATGCATTCATGAAATTTAAACTATTTAAAACAGCTTTAAACAGTTTATCATTAATAAATGTGAATAGTATTTGCACTTAAAAAATGTACCTTATTATGTGAAATTGTGTGGTTTGGTTGATGTGAAACACAATTTATTGATATGGGCAGATACATAATATTTGGGAGGGAAATTATGTACTATGCTATATAATACTATATAAATATGTTTCATAGGATCAAAAATATGAAAAAAAAAACATATGGTATAGTAGTTTAATGCAAATAGTAATTTAATTGCATGTCTCTAATAATGATTTAGTGCATACACACTGTCATTTATTTGTTTGCATTTATCAATATGGTTAATAAAAATCCAAAGCAAACATATAATTTTTGCCTTCTGCACACTAACGGACAGCTTTAAAACTAATGTCACAAAAAACTCATTATAAAAGCTATACTCATTTCTAGATGAGCCTGTTTTCTGTGATTATTGTTTTGCCTTCAGACATCAAATGAGTCAGGAAATTAAAATTTTTACAGGAAATTTATCAGCACTTTCCAGCTTCCAAGACACAGAAAAAGTGCTGGCGCCAATATGAGGCCAAACACCATTTCTGAAACCCGTCAGGTTTCCACAGATTAAATACGTTTTATGATGTGATGGGGTAGGAGACACCTCGAGAATGCTTCATATGTAGCCTTGTCTGGATTGAACCATCATTAAAAATTGAACAAGAACAAAGCAGTTGCTCTTTCTGAGTGGATTGACTGAGTGCATTAACTACATTAACTTTTTCTATCGGCTACATTAACTGCCTCATGTGTTGGTTGCCTAATATGTTCAAGTCAATATGAAATCAAATGGTCCTATTTACATTCCTAATATGCATTCTTAGTCCTGTTGTTAACATTCATCACTGCAGGCTATTCCAACCCGATCTTTTAGCCCATGTCACGTGCAGCGTGCATGCTATTAGATGCTATTAGCCAAAAATCTGGTTTTGTTGTTGCTATAGCAAACTCGCATTCTGATTTGCATTATTCTTACAGTAAAAAGCCTACTCTAACTGATGGAAGACAGTTTCCGCGGGATCAAAAAATTCAAATAAAATAAATAAATAAAGTAATTAATTAAAAAGGTAATTGCGAGTTTTTAACACACAATTCTGGCATTTTTCTTGCAATTCTGAGAGAGAGCGAGAGAGAGAGAGAGAGAGAGAGAGAGAGAGAGAGAGAGGAATTACAAACTCCGACTTTTATTCTCAGAATTCCGAGTTTACTATTATTGTTATTATTATTATTATTTCCACGACAGAATAAAAAAATTAAAAGGAAATTACGAATTTTTTATCTCAAAACTCGTAATTTTTTTTTAATCTCACAATTCCGAGTTTATAGCCTACAGTTTGATTTTTTTCCCCCTCAGAATTGCAAGAAAAGAAAGAGAGAAAAAAGTCGGAAATGTGAGAAAAAAAGTACAAAGTTTTATTTTGTCTTATCTCGTGGCGGAAACGTATGGAAGCCCGTTTCCGCAACTGAATTAAAAAAATTAAATAAGTAATTGCGACTTTTTATCTCACAATTCTTACTTTTTTTCTCAGAATTGCGTGATATAAACTCGCAATTGCGAGACATAAAGTCGCAATTCTGAGAAATAAAGCCAGAACTGCGAGATATAAACTCACAATTCTGTCTTTTTTTCTCGCAATTCTGACGTTATAACTCGCATTTCTGACTTTATAACTCGCAATTGCGAGTTTATATCTTGCAACTCTGAGAAAAAAGTCAGAATTGTGAGAAGCAAAGTCACAATTGCGATAAAAAAAAAAGTTTATATCTCGCAATTCTGACTTTATTTCTCACAATTGTGAATCTATATCCTGAAATTCTGACTTTATATCTAGCAATTCTGACTTTATAACTTGCAATTGTGCGTTTATATCTCACAGTTCTGAGAAAAAAAGTCAGATTTATATTTTGTAAACTCGCAATCTCGTGAAAAAAGTCAGAATTATGAGATAAAAAGTCGCAATTACCTTTTTTTTTTTTATTCAGTGGCGGAAACGGGCTTCCATAGAAACGGCCTTCCATATGGGCAATCAAATCAATCAACGAATTAAAACTTAAGTCCCGCCCCCTTTTCATATTGAATGTGTCGTTTAATTTATAAATTCATCATTATACTATCAAAATAAATGGGTTTTGAATGATAATTCGCGTTGATTTTAAAGGTGAAAAGTGTAATTTATTCGACCTCTAGATTTTTCTGTGTAAGTGCAATCTTTTTTTTTTGAATACAAGAAAATGTCATGGTAATTCATTGGTAAAACTATGTATTTCGGGTGACTTTTAAACATTATTTGAAATGTGTATACATATCGTTCTCATTCAGTATCTACACCGCCTCCACATTTGAAAAAAAATCAATGTTTTTGGAGGCAAAAGTCGAAAACAGGATGCACTGATGCTCCACCTGTGGCTCTCTCTCGTCCCTCTCCACCAACACTTCAATACTCTGTCCCACAGCTCCAAGAATGGGAAAATCAGAGAGCCAAATGGATATCATGGAGAAAAGCACTAAACCGAGGAAGCATCGCTGGACTGTAGCGGAGATCGGACTGTCTGTCACTGTGCTGCTGATGAGCTGCGCTCTGGCTGGACTCATAGTGCTCTACACTTCAGCTCTGAGAGGTGGGCATTTCTGCTGCAGATCAGGAGTCTTTTGAATGCTATTCTTTCAATCCTCCCAAAAGACACAAACATATTCAAGATCTTTGTAATACACTAAGAAATAACTTGCATTTAATTGCATTTATTTATAGCCCACGTGGTGCAGCTTGTGCAACCTTTCTTAGAAGTCTATAGAAAACCAGAAAAAATTTAATTAATATGAATTAATTATTTAATATACTTTATATATATATAATATAAATATAATTATATAATTATTTAAGTTTAATACATCTGTAAAATATTTTAATATTTATAAAATAGTTTGATTATTTCTAATTAGTGTGTAATTGTATTTAAAATTTTAAATTATATTTAAATAGAATATTAATGAATTATACAAAAATAAATAAATAATTAATATTAATATTACAAATAAAATAATGAATATTGGTATTATGTTTATATATTTTGAATAATGATGACATATTTTATTTATTCAGAATTAAAGTGTATAGAGTTATCATAAAATGATATCTCATATATTTGCACATGCATTTAAAATATTTAAAACATAAAATTACCCACAAGAATCATCTGATGTATCAAAAGGTTCTCACTGAACACATATTTGATTATAAGCTCTTGTATTTTCCTCTGTGTTTCAGAGCGTTTTAACATAAATGAATCTTCAAAAGGTACAGTATGCTGTGACGTTGTTCATATCACAGTTTGGCATATTTGATCCACATTGTTCATTTCATTCTGCTGCTTTTTCATTTAGTTTTTAATCTTTTTGAGTTTTGTACAATCACTCCATATTCTATACAATATCATATTACTGCACATACATTATATAGTGCATATATATTACACAAATGCACTATTAGCAATTCAAACCAACCAGTGTCATGTTTACAAAATGTGCCTGTTTTGATGGATAAGAGAAAGATATAAGACAACATTGTTTCAATAAACTGCATTATATTATTCCAGTTTTCCAGTGTTAAGCTGAAGCTATAAACTCTCGTGTGCAATTTGAGTGGATTATGTCACATGATCCCAGCCCTGTTTGAGTCAGATATTAACCTCATGCATGTTGTTTATCTCACCACATCGCACGCAACAGGGCTGAAATATCGATCAAACGCTGACAGCAATGTCTGTACAACCCCACAGTGTGTCACTGCCGGTAAGAACAAATGTCTGAGAGCTTGCATCTTACACCACCTCAAAACTTCAGCTGAAACTTCTCGATCTGAAATGATTTGTTTTTCAACGACACAGCGGCCCGACTGCTCCAGAACATGGACCCCAGCGTGGAGCCGTGCCAGAACTTCTATCAGTACGCCTGCGGAGGCTGGATAGAGCGTCACGTCATTCCCGAAACCAGCTCACTTCACAGCGTATTCAATATCCTGAGAGACGAGCTGGAGATCGTACTCAAGGGTCAGTAACCACCATGAGTATTATGGGTTTGTGTAGATTTCTTTTAAACATTGTTATCTGGCTGGTGCTTATTCATTATCGCACAGGAGTTCTGGAGATGGAAAATAAGGATGACAGAGAGGCCTTCAAGAAAGCCAAAACGCTCTACAGCTCATGCATGAATGAGAGTGAGTAAACAATATATTGTTTACTCACAAGTATACTGTCATCTACTTGTACTCTATTATATTGCTGATGTTATGAGTTACCATTACAATGGTGTAGGATTCACTTTTCTTCTAAATTTCTTCTAAATGTCACACATAATTACAAAGAAATGGCGAGGAACACTGAATTAAACATGACATTTGTAAGTAGAAAGACTGAGACAGTGTATAGTATGCAAGTATAGTATTGATCGAGTTTCATGACATTCTCAAAATTCTACATTTGTACATGTTTGTATATTTTTCCTATAAACTTTGAAAATATTTTATTTTTACGTAAAATCAAAGAGTTTTATATTGCATTCTCATTTTTGATTCTGCTACAACTTGGCAATGCTTCCAAAAGTTCAAGTTCAACTTTTTTTTTCAAATGTAAAAATAATATAATAAAGTATAATGTTACACGAAGCTGATTACTGAAGCTGATAACTAAAATTAAAACTATTATTTAATGCATTATTAATGAACTATTATTTAATTATATAAATTATTTAATATACTTATATAAGTGCTTATTCATTATATTTATTTATTCAGAATTTCATTAACATTTATGTTAAATATAAATTTAATATTAATGAATTACATAAAATTCTGACTTGTTTCAATACATAGGCCTATATGAAAAAATTTTAATATTTATAAAATATTTTATTTCTAATTAGTGTAATTATAATTTAATTTTAAATTATATTTAAAATGAATATGAATGAATTATACAAAATAAATAATTAATAGTAGTATTAATAGCAGTATTGATAGTACATCGAAACTAAATTAAAACTATTATTTAATTAGTATTAAAACACATTTTTGTTAACTGAAATCAAGCTAAAATTAACTACATTATTAATATTAGATGAAAAACAAGCGCAAGTTGAAGCACTAAAATTAGTAACTGAAAAAAACAACTAAGCTTGAACTAAAATTTAAACAAACAAACAAAAAAAAACTTGAACAGTAATATTTAAAAAACAAACACACACAATTACTAAAAATGACAAAAGAGCATAACAATGAAAGTAAACTGAAATTATAAAAGCGAATTAAATATATTAATACAACTGTAATAAATAAATATTCATAGATTATTATCGAATACTTTTCTGAAAATGAAGGTCACCTACTAATTTTCCGTTTCGCTCTATATGTGCACAAATCCAACTTAGTCCCGTCTCTCTGCTTCCCCCTGCAGCTCTGATCGAGCAGCGCGACTCGCGGCCTCTCCTCAGGCTCATTGACAGTATCGGCGACTGGCCCGTGGCCTCTGGGGTCTGGAACAGCACAGCAGGTACTGGAGATAGCAGCGGTCCTCTCTAATTCACTCTCACAGAGAATGGCAGCATCTTGAGCTTATCTAAATGGGATAAATGCAGTCGCTCCAGCCGTGCTGTCGCTGGGTGTTGATAAGGAGCTAGACTGATGGAAAAGTCCAGTGGTTTGACAGAGCGGTGGCCATCCCGCTCATCTGTCATGTGTAGGGGGAGATACATCCGTGTCGAGGAGGGTGAGAGGATAAGAGAGCCACCCACTGTGTGATGATTGGCACTGTGGCTCATTATAGACCCTGCGAGAGAGCAGAATAATTAAACAGAATAGAAGAACAGCGCTGAAATACAATCTACATATGCACTAGACATACACCTGACTGATTTATGTGACTGATTTTAGCAATGAACAGGTAATAATTCTGGTTGTGGTGCCATTGGAGACCTTTAACCATAAAACCTATCTATTGGTATCCGTCTTATTATGTAAACAAAAGGCCGTTTTGATTTCATGGGTAATTTGTAAGATTTACAATTAGAGTTTCTTCCCAGAATTTTGAATAAAAAACAAAAATTAACCACTCATGATATGCAATGCTCTTATTTTGCATCATCTGTGCTTATTAAAGTCAACCAAACAGCATTCGCAACCCATTGACTTCTGTAATGTAATGCGTTTCTGGGTGAAACAGGATATTCAACAAGAAAAACGTAAGATCTGATTTTATCCATTGGGAATTCATTGGATCATTATATGGTAATGTCAATTCAGAGTAAACTATAAACTAAAGACTCTGAAACATGTTTCGATGTATTTTCTGCTTAGAAAGTTAATGAAGGACATATCAAGTGGACTGTCCTTTTCAGTGAAATGAGCAAAAAATGCATTTGTTCTATCATTTTTTATTTTCTTTGTAAAGAAATTACATTGGGCAGGCCTACTTATCAATTTCATTGCATTACCATAAGGCTTATGAGAGCATATATTTTTTGCTTCTTTGGTAAAAATCCCAGCAGATCTGCAGTTTGTTCCCACCTTTGTTCACCTTTCTGATGCTCGGTTTGAACTTCAGCAGATTGTCTTGACCATCTAAATGCATTAAGTTGCTGCCATGTGATTGGCTGATTAGATATTTGCATTAACAAGCAGTCGAAAAGGTGTACCTATAAAGTGGCTGGTGAGTGTGAATATTGCCTTAAAGTAAACAGACATGGACTAAAAACCACAAACTGCATTTTATTTTTAAAAGTTGACCATGGTATCTTATATGGTATCTTAGATACTGTGAAATATGCAGAAAAAGCAGTGCCCGGTCAAATATGTCCATCTAGCGCATATACATAGAAAAAAAAACACTTACTATTTTGAAGTAATGATTCAATAATATTGAGCTTCCAGTTCATTATTAAAAGAAAAACAGAACATATTAAACAAGTATCTGAGCACAGTTTTTGGGATATATATTGCCTCAAAGCGAACAGACATGGACAAAAAAACAAAAAACTTTGATCTCACAGAGCAAGTGTGGAGACTGGAGGATACCCTGGCTGTTCTGAACGCTCGGTACAATAAGAAGGCTGTGTTTGAGATGTTTGTGTGGCCAGATGATCGCGACTCCAGCCGCTACATTATTCATGTAAGTTATTGAATATACTGTATAGGTTACTCTTATGTATGAACAACAAAACACCATAGTATTTTAATATTTTGGGACATGTATGATGGTAATTCCATGTTTTCTGGACATTTAGCTAACAGGGAACGTTAGCAGAACTGTGGCTAATGTTCTGGCAGAGTTGTATTAAAGTACAGATTAAAGTACCATTTGAGCATGAGCTAATAAAACACAATGTGATTTTTCGACGGTTTAAAGCAGCACTATGTAACTTTCTTTGTTCAAAATTTGCTAAATGTATATAATGAGCGAGTACATCATGAATTCATCTTCCAAACCGCGTTTTTGTCTTATTCCGAATCACTACGGTACACTTATAATAAGTACTTATATTTGGACTATTGTAGCCTGGTCGTGTCGTCACCGCTGCGGAATAACACATACCTGCGTGAATCGCCATAGACATAAACTTAGAGAAGTAGCTCCGGTTGGAATGTTCTTCCGCGGGATGTGTGCAGTTCGGTTTATTAACCGCTAGAGCGCCAAAAGCTACATAGTGCTGCTTTAATTATGAACGTTGCACTATTGGATGATCTCATGCATACCGTATACTACAAGCGATTCAGATAACAAACTGATTTAGTCATTAAACTACATTGGTTTGTTGTCACAGGTTGACCAGCCAGCACTAGGAATGCCTTCAAGAGATTATTACCTCAGTGATGGGAATTATAAGAAGGTACATTGTGTCCTTTTGTGAGATGCATTCTGTCGCTCAATGCAATTGTTATAATAATCAGCAACTCCCTGGTCATGTATCTCTGGTCAGGTGCGCAAGGCCTACCTTGAGTTCATGGTGTCCATAGCAAGGATTGCACGAGAAGACAGGAACCTGACCCAAGACGAAGAACGTGTGAGGGAGGACATGACTCAAGTGTTGGAGCTGGAGACAGACATTGCGAACGTGAGTTGAACTGATGGTAAAACACAACAACCAGAATGTTAGTGATTCTGTAAATGTCAGGTGAGTGTCTGCTCTGTGCTTCAACAGGCTACCTCACCTGCAGAAGAGCGCAATGACATCACCGTCCTCTACAACAAAATGACACTGAGAGAAGTGCAGCAAGCTTTCAACCTCAATGTAAGTACGGCATTTATTTGGTAAAAAATACAGCAAAAACAACAATACTGTGAAATATTATTTTAATTTAAAATAACTGTTTTCTATTTGAATATATTTTAAAATGTAATTTATTTCTGTGATGCAAAGCTGAATTTTCAGCATCATTCCTCCAGTCTTCAGTGTCAAGTGATACTTCAGAAATCATTCTCATATGCTGATTTGCTGCTCAACAAACATTTCTGATTATTATCAATGTTGAAAACAGTTGTGCTGCTTCATATGTTTGTGGAAACCATGATACATTTATTTCAGGATTTGTTGATGAATAGAAAGTTCAGAGGAACAGCATTTATGTGAAATAGAAATATTTTCTAATTGTCATTACTGTCATTTTTGATCAATTTAATGTATCCGTGCTAAATAAAAACTATGGCTGTTAATAGAACAAAATAATGGTGATTCATGTCACGATTTCCTACTAGACTTTAGAAACCAGAGTGAAAAAGTAACAATGTTCAAATTCAGTCATAATATTATAGTCATGCTTTTTAATATTTATTTTTCTCTCATTGTTTCCCTTGTTTGAACAAGGATGTTGATCTAGGAAAACATCCTACTTGTCCAAATGATGGTCACTGACTGTTGAAATAAGATTGTGTGTTTCTTTTGTCAGTTTTTTAGAGTTCACATGCTTGTTTTGTATCTCTTTCTGAAATTTCAGGGCTTTAACTGGATGCGCTACATCCAGGGTATCATGTCCAGTGTGTCAGTCACGGTGCAACCAGATGAACCCATCGTTGTGTACTGCTCACCGTACCTGGAGAAGCTCAGTGATGTTCTTTCCAAACACAGTCACAGGTGATGCTTTACATTCACAGCTGACTGACTCATGAAAAATGCAAGTTAATTCTTCATTGTCATGTCAATTATGGTGATCCAGAAGAAATAAATATTGCCTGGTGGTTACTCTTTCAGAAGTCTTAGTTATGTTCACTGAAGTCATCTGTGCTTCTCTGAAAATTGCTGTATAAGAAATAAAAGGAGACAAATGTTGACACGCAATAAGAATTCAGAGATATACAATGAATGTGGATAGCATAGCATAGAGAATTTGATATTGAATGAATGTTTGAGTATTATATTGAAATTTAAGTTGCATGTATTTGAACAGTTTACGACTTATTAAAGAGATTTCTTTCCTACACTTTTAATATGCATTCACATATATGCATTTGGAAGATGCTTTTATTCAAAGCAGCTTATATTGCATTCAAGCTATTGTAGCATTCATTACATTTTCAAATTGTTTTTTTCATTTTTATTTTTTTGATTTGAAGTACTTGTGCTCTGTGTTTTTGTCATGATATTTTCATCTAGTATTTACTTTTTTTTTTTTTTTGGCATTGTCTAGGCGATACAACTGACCTATTAAAAAGATCTCATTTATTATTTTCCATTAATGTACATTTTAGATTTATGTATTTGGCAGATGCTTTTATCTAAACATTGCATCCTTACATTGCATTCAAGCTATTATAGTGTTTATTAAAATTTTAAATTAGTTTTCATTTTTATAATTTTAGTTTGAACTTTAATTTCTTAATAGTTTTGTGTTATTCTGTCATTTTTTATTTTTTATTTCAGTTTTATTTTTAGTACTTTATCTTAAAATTATTATTTGCCAAGGCAACATTTTTTACATTTCATTTAGTGTAAGTACTTTAATCTAATATTACATTTTTTATTAATTTTCTTTCCTAAACTTTTTAGTTATACTTAAAAACTTAAAGTTTTTATTAAAATGTTAAATTCATTTTAATTAAAATGTTTCATTTTAGTTTAAGTTTTAGTAATTTTGTTATTTTTTTCTGTTGTTTTTATTATAATTCTATTTAGCTTTAAATAATTTTTATTTCAGTTTTTGTTTGAATAATTTGTTAAACTCAGACTTATTTTTCATATAATATTTATATTTATTTCAGTTAACATTTTTAGAGTTGTAGTTTTATTTTTTGGTTAACAATAACACTTTTTAAGTAATCTGTGGCAAAAACTTAAAAAAGGTGTACATAAAAAATAAATAATGGAATATAAATCAATTCTAATATGAAATGGTCTGCACATGTGATCCCCGCAGGACTCTGCAGAACTATCTGGCGTGGATGCTCATCATGGAGAGGGTCAGCAGTATGAGCCGGCGCTTCAAAGACGTGAGAGCGCACTACAGAAAGGTCAGTCTCGCTCTGAACACACACAAACAGAGGACAGCTCTCGTGGCATTTAACACCGCTCTCAAAACTCTTTTGGTGATCCGCTACTGTTTTAGTCCACTAGGTTACATAACACAGGGGCTCTCAACCTTGTTTTGGACCCATTGTCTTGGTTGCGTTGTGTGTGTTCTCTCAGGCTTTGCATGGCACTACGGTAGAGGAGGCGAGGTGGAGAGACTGTGTCCGTTATGTCCAGGGAAACATGGAGAACGCCGTCGGGGCCCTGTACGTCCGCGAAACCTTCTCTGGAAACAGCAAACGCATGGTAAAAGCAAAAACACACACCAGCAGACATAACAGGAACATCCTCCTGCATTGCTTTATGTAACGGCTATTATCAGATTGACATGGATTGTTTAGACTGTTCTGATGATGGTTTCAGTGATTTGACAGAAAGTCGTCTCAGTTTAAGTCAAGTCAGGATGAATGATTTTATATACACTACCAGTCAAAAGTTTTTGAACAGTAAGATTTTTATTCTTCTGCTCACCAAGCCTGCATTTATTTGATCCAAAGTACAGCAAAAACAGTAAAATTCTGAAATATTTTTACTATTTAAAAAACTGTTTTCTATTCGAATATATTTTCAAATGTAATTTATTCCTGTGCTTTCAAAGCTATATTTTTAGCATCATTACTCCAGTCACATGATCCTTCAGAAATCATTCTAATATTCTGATTTGCTGCTCAAAAAACATTTATTATTATGTTGAAAACAGCTGAGTAGAATTTTTTTCAGGTTTCTTTGATGAATAGAAAGTTAAGAACAGCATTTATCTGAAATAGAAATCTTTTGTAACATAAATGTCACTTTTGATCAATTTAAAACATCCTTGCCAAATAAAAGTATAAATTTCTATAAAAAAAATGTCTAAAAAAAAATATATATATACTGACTCCAAGCTTTTGAATGGTATAGTGTATAATGTTACAAAAGCTTTTTATTTCAGATAAATGCTAATCTTTGGATCTTTCTATTCAACAAAGAATCCTGAAATACAAATGTAATCAGCTGTTTTAAATATTGATAATAATAAATGTTTCTTGAACAGCAAATCAGCATATGAGAATGATTTCTGAAGGATCATGTGACACTGAAGTACTGATGCTGAAAATTCAGCTTTGATCACAGAAATAAATTACATTTGAAAATATATTCAAATAGAAAACAGTTATTTAAAATAGTAAAAATATTTCACAATATTACTGCTTTTGCTGTATTGTGGATAAAATAAATGCAGGCTTGATGAGCAGAAGAGACTTACTTAAAAATATTAAAAATCTTACTGTTACTAAAACTTTTGACTAGTAGTGTATCTCTGCATTATACATATAGCTGTATGTGGCTTTATATAGTTTTTCTAGAAGTCAAATAGTTCAACAATCAAAAAGACAAAATGGACCTTATTTATGCTCTTAATTCTGGTCTTATTGTGAATGATTTATCTTTCTTCATCATATTCCGTCAAAACGACTTACCTTTTCAGCAGATGTCACATCGGCCTCCTGAAAAATCATAATTTATTCCCTTATCCTATAGTAAATCATTAGTGCTATCAATCGATTAATTGCATGATATACCAACTAACTCTCCAACAGGTGAACAGCTATTTCGGCTATTTGATAAATGGTATGAAAAGGGTTGTTGACTTTTAATGTGTCTCTGCACTGTTGTTCAGGTGCGTGACCTGATCAGAAAGATTCAGGAAGCTTATGTGGAAACACTGGAAGAACTGAGCTGGATGGATGAACAGTCCAAGGAGAAGGCCAGAGAGAAGGTGAGATGCTATTAATTGCCACAACTCCTAATGAAGAGCTTTTATTTCTAGAGTTTAACCCCTATTTCCATACTTTTTTGACCTAAAATATTTACTTGAAGTATCCTCTAAAATTTTAAGTTAATATTTGAATCATTTAAAATTCATATTTTCATGGTTCTCTGATGTTGGTTAATGGACGCAGGTAATATACATTTTTAATCATTTGTTCTTGATCCTTTAAAACCCAGTGGTGAATATAATGTGTATATATATATATATATGTGTATGTGTGTGTGTGTGTGTAAAATTGCATTCCTGCTTTATTCTTTAGTAAACAATAAGGTTAATTAATTTATCATTTTAATTATATATAATTCCAAGTTAACAATAAAAAAATATTCACAATTAATGTTGTTATGCATTTTATGTATACTAATTTTATCTTCTTTTATTGTCATTATAAACTGGGTTTCATCTTTAAGCTTATTTTGAATTAATGAAGGCATTTTTATTTGTTATTATTATTATTTGCATTTACTATCCTACAGTCTGAGTTGTTCTCGCTTTCTAAACTCCTGTTTTTCATTATGTTTTCCTTGTTTTGCAGGCCATGGCGATATCGGAACAGATCGGTTATCCCGACCACATCCTTGAGGAGGAAAATAAGAAATTGGACAAGGAATACACACACGTATGGAAACTCAGAGAACCCTGACCTCTAAAGAAATTAGCATCCAAACCAACTAATATCTCATTCACATAAATTCAAGAATGATGGCAGCTCAGACAGAAATACATCCATGTGAGATTATCTGTCTCTCTCTGTTTGCTCACAGCTGAATTTCAGTGAGGAGAACTACTTTGAGAACATTCTGGAAAACCTGGCAGCTTCAGCCCAGAAAGTTCATAAGAAGCTGAGGGAGCCTGTGGATCCTGACATGTACTAAACATTAATAAATAAATGCTAGAAAGACCGTTTTTTTCTCTCGTGACCCATTCTCTCTGTCTCTGTTTTAGGTGGATTATTGGTGCGGCTGTGGTCAACGCTTTCTATTCACACAACAGAAACCAGATTGGTAAGATCACAGCCATATAGTCAGAAAAAATATTCCATTGTATAATATAATATAGCGTATAATATAATATATACAAATAAATTAATAATAAATGTAAAAATTAAATAAATAACAAAAATTAAAATGTGTTTAACTCTCATAACAGAAACCAGATTGGCAAGTTCACAGCCATATACAGTGAGAAATAATATTCTATTATATAATATAACAAACAATCAAGTAATAATACATTAAAAAAATAAAAACGCATTGTACTTGCACAACAGAAACCAGACTGGTAAAATCACAGCAATATAGTTAGAAATTATTTTATATTATATAATATAGAATAATAAATTAAAAATAAATGTAAAACGTAATAAATAAATAAAAAAAGCAGTGTACTTGCACAACAGAAACCAGACTGGAAAATTCATAACCATATATTCAGAAATATATAATATAATATAATATATAGAATAATAAATTAAAAATAAATGTAAAACGTAATAAATAAATAAAAAAAGCAGTGTACTTGCACAACAGAAACCAGACTGGAAAATTCATAACCATATATTCAGAAATATATAATATAATATAATATAATGTATAGAATAATAAATTAAAAATACATTTAAAAATGTAATAAATTAATTTTTTTAAAGCATTGTACTTGCACAACAGAAACCAGACTGGTAAATTCATAGCCATATGGTAAGAAATAATCTTATATTTTTTAATATAATATTATATTCTGTATTTTTCAATATAGATAATTTTCTTTAATCGATTTACCACAAATGGACAATGTAGTCCAAAATAACATTGCACATTTACTTGATCATTCAGACTTAACATGCCTAAACAAACACCATTACAGCTCCACTTGAGAAAACTAGTCTATCTACAGGTCCAGCAGCTAGACCAGCACAGACCGGTCTAGTCCAGCACTGAGATTCACGGTTGAGTAAACAGATCTTTCCAGCAGTGGAGGCCACAACCGCACACTAAAATAAGCAGCGTTGTCCAAATGTGGGTCTTCTGTGAAGTATTTGCTCTGGTCAGATTTCTCCTAAGCTGTTGAGGGCTCTCAGTATAAATGCTTTCTCAGCCCATTGTCATAATGGCTCTAATGCCTGTAGTGCCTTTCCCTTGTAGATTAAACAAAGCTAGTTTCAGGCTCCACTGCCCACAAAGCTTGTGCTTCCAGAGATGGGCTGTGGACGCTGAGCGCACGCTATTCAGGCTGCGTTAATACAGAGATTACAAAAGCCAAGTGATTATGCAGATTTTCAGCGGGAGAAATTTCCACATAATTACTCTTAGATTGCACATTTTAATGTTCCTGGACAATCTGGGAAAGACTTCAAGCTGAATTGCCATTTGAGAGATAAGAGTGGCAGCTGTAACTGCTATAGCTGGAGGACGCTACACAGCAGAGACCTTTCTGTCCTTCTAGTATACACCATTACCATCACATTACTGAGCGTTTCTTCAAGTATGGGCGCTTCGGGTCTTGTGGAGACTCTTTAAAAGCACTTTTGACACTTTTAGTATCTACCCTAGTAAAAAAAAAGTAATATATTTATTTCAGTCAAATCTATTTACATATTTACTGACATTTCACTCGAGACTTATTTGGAGTACTATTTGTGCACAATGCACGTTTCTTAATATTAAGCCTAAAATGTGTTTTAATGTCACTATTGATGAGGATTGTATGATCTCTGAATAATATCAGTCTTTAAATGCAAGATGTTTAAAGAGTGCCTGAAGTATTTTGCAATAGTTCCACTTTAGCACAATGAAATATACTTCAGTTTATCTTTAGTTGGACTTCAGCACTACTTCCGCACAATTAAAGTGCATTAAGCACAAAATTAGTTTCCAATTTTGCAGACTTTTAAGTATACCAGTTTAGTGTACTAATAGTACAATAGTGCAGGATATTTTTTATCAAGTATATAGATATGTAAATGTATTAGTAGTATACTTAGCACAAAATAAATGTATTACAAATACATTTTAGTATATTTATTTTTCGCTAGGGTAATATGTCCACTAACATGATAACTTTTGACATTTCTGAACTATTGCTTTTTAGTGATATTTACCTTGATTTTTTCTGTTTTCTCATATATCTCATACATCACATTGTTGACATTGCTTTCTTATGGGTAAATAAGCACAGCTGTTACATTTTGAAAATAACATTTTTAGGGGCAAAATGTTTTTTTACACAGATATTGAAATATAAAACTATATTTAAAAAAAAATCAGAACATATGCATGCATATATAATGCATACATATATAAATATATATATTAAATTCATTATATAATATATATGCATGCCTATAAAAACTGTCATACTTTAACCTCATATATATTTTGAAAGACTGACGAGGGTAAATCTAGTCTTAACCAACACAGTTTTAATATGACCTTCAGAAACATTCTAAGAAAATGCTGAAATCTGTTAATTTTAATGAAAAATCGGACATAAAAGTGTCTAAAGTTAACACTCTGTTACTATTCAAATGAGTTGCTTTCTCACGTGACTCGATTAGGATCTCGAAAATGCATTTCCTGGTCAATTACCCAGGCATTATGCTGAATTTCATCTCTTTCTATGCATCCATCTTTCTTTCAGTGTTTCCTGCTGGCATCCTCCAGCCTCCGTTCTTCAGTGAAAAACAGCTGCAAGCTCTAAACTTTGGTGGAATTGGCATGGTTATAGGACATGAAATCACTCATGGATTTGATGATCACGGTAATATGCATCTCATCTGATGGATTGTACCAATTATCAGTTAGCTGTGGATGAATAAACAATGTGGATTTGTTGATGATCCTGTTTTATGTGTGATGCATTAAACTCTGTGCTAAAGGAGGGGTTTTAAATATCACGGATAAATTGTTCTCCACTGGACCAAACCACAGCGCAAAAGAGCAACCGCAACGCTTGTCTGTTTAAAATATGACCGTGCTCCAAAAAATTAAATATTTATTTTCACAGGCCGTAATTTTGACAAGGATGGGAACATGTACAACTGGTGGAGCAACTACTCTGCCGAGCGCTTTGAGGATCAATCTAAATGCATGGTGGAACAGTACGGCAAATTCAGCTGGAAACTCGCAGGAGGCCAAAATGTAAGTTGAACTTCACTTAGAAGGATGGAAAGAATCTGTAAATGAACAAATAACAAATACATGGTTTATACTCACAGTACTTGTAGTATGTGCATGCTTTGGTCTCTCTCTCACCCACTTCGCTTCCTGTTGACCTACTGTCCTATCTGCATAAAACGCCAAAAATAAATCTTTAAAATATATATATATTTTTTTTTTACCAAAAATTAAGCTACTTTACTTGAAAAGTAAAATGACTTAAGATATTAAGAATGTATCTAAATTTTGTTAGTTTTTGCTTAAGAAGAATATCTGCCAGTGGGGTAAGAAACATAATCTCAATTCAAAGGGAAAACAAGATCTTTTTTCTTGTTTTAAGCAAAAATTAACAAAAATTTGATACATTTGAAAACAAGACTTCATATCTTAAGTTGCTTCTCAATTAAATGTATCTTGATTCAAGAATGTTTTGGTATTTATACTAGAAAACAAGACAAAAATACTAAAAGAAGAAAATTGCTTTTTACAGTGGTCATTTTATAGCTCAGTCTATAAACAAATCTTTTTTTATTTCTCCTAAAAAACAAATTAAGACTATAAAACAACAGTGCTGTCATTGTAAACTTTAATACATTTTTTGTTAATCAAAATAAAGCTGAAATAAAAGAAAATATGAATATATTACAGGAAATACTTAAAAAGATTAGAAATTTAACAAGTTTAAGTAGTACTAAAATTGCTAAAAACTAAAACACAATAAAAAGCTAAAAGTAAATATAAAAAACCAAATACAAAATTACTAAAAATTAAACTGAAATTAGAACTAAATTAGAATTAAACTAAATGAACACTGAAAATATACAATTAAAAGCTGACCTAAAATATTAATAAATACTGTATTATATAAATAATGCACTGAACATTGTTACATTGATGGTGTTGCAGGTCAGTGGCATCACAACATTAGGAGAGAATATTGCTGACAACGGTGGAGTTCGTCAAGCATATAAGGTTTGTAACATTAATTCCTTTTAAACAAACACATAGACAACAATTCGCATTTTCATTAGAACTCGTAAAAATCTGTTGATGTGAATCTGTGTGTGATGTTAGGCGTATATGAAGTGGGTGGAGAGGGAGGGCGAGGAGCCCCATCTTCCTGGACTGGATATGGATCACAAACAGCTCTTCTTTCTAAACTTCGCCCAGGTATGTGACCACGAATGACATCCACTTTAGGACGCCTGCATGTGTTCACCTTGATGCCCATGCAAGGTCAGTCTTGCAAAGAGCGTGCCAAATTAAACTGACACTGCTTAAAAGATACAGGTGCCGCTTAACCTCTAGAAAATACATTACTACTGGCTCTCTAATGTGTGCTTAAGGCATGAAATCAGTGATTGAATCATGCCAACCGATGGGATGAGTGCTGCTTTAAAGGACTTGGACTCTGAAATGTCATTATTTGGATGGGCACACTTCAAAATATGTGTTGAAATAAACAACCACAACCGAAAAAAATTTGTTCTGCATATGACATTCAAGCATAAAATGCACATTAGGTCAGAAATAAAGTTAAAATGTGTTCATCTTTCCATGATGTGCTCAACTGGTATGATATGATTGTGTTATTTTTACTGAATATAAAATGTCTCATGCTTTCTGTAGGTCTGGTGTGGTGCCTGCCGCCCAGAGTACGCCATTCAGTCCATCAAAACAGACCCACACAGCCCTCTGGAATACAGGCAAGATCTTTCTGGGAGATTTGTGAATTAAAGATAAAAAAAGTATCGAAGTCACACTTAAAAATGACAGTGCATTAGAAACATATAGTTAGCAGCACAACGCACTATAGCAAAAATCAAGACACTGCAAGTGGGATAAGCAAAAACGAATTCTTGAAAGACCAAATTTGTACCCACTAAATATTTTATTGGATTTTAAAACTCAAAATTATCATGTAAACTACTATTTAAAAGTTTGGTGTCTGTAAGATTTTTTAAATGATTTTAAAAGTCACTTATGCTCAACAAGGCTGCATTTATATGATTTCTAAAACAGTAATATTGTAAAAAAACAATTAAAATAGCATTTCTATTTGAGTATATTTGAAAATGTAATTTATTCCTGTGATGAAAAGGTGATTTTTCAGCATCATTACTCCAGTCTTCAGTGTCACATGATGCTTCAAAAATCAGAAATCATTCTAATATGCTGATTTGTGGCTCAAGAAACATTTCTTATTATCAATGTTGAAAACAGTTGTGCTGCTTGATGTCTTTGTGGAAACTGTGATCATTTTTTTCAGGATTCTTTGATGACTATAAAGTTCAAAAGAACAGCATTTAATTAAATACAAATATTTTGTAACATTATAAATGTCATTACTGTCGCTTTTGATGAGTTCAATGCAACCTTGCTGAATAGTATTAATTTCTTTAAAAAATATATTAATAAATGTCATTACTGTCGCTTTTGATGAGTTCAATGCAACCTTGCTGAATAAAAGTATTAATTTCTTTAAAAAATATATTATACATATGTATCTTATACATATATGAAGCAACTTTATATATGTTGCTGTATTTTTATATACTTCATGTTTACAGGTTTCTTGCATCTTTTCTGATTATTTAAAACATTTTCAAGCAAAACATTAAAAAAAAAGCCACTTCAAAAGTGTTTCAGGAGAACTGAATTCACTAAAACGCACCAAAATACCAGCTGATTCAAAGACATTGAGCAAAAATGATAAAGAAAAGTGAAAATAACTTTTTCTTTAATGCAAAGACATTCAGACATTTTTAAGTGTGACTTAAAGAGTTAGTTTACTCAAAAGTGAAAATTCTGTCATTAATTACTCACCCTCATGTCGTTCCAAACCCGCAAGACCTTCGTTCATCTTCGGAACACAAATAAAGATATTTTTGATGGAATCCAAGAGCTTTCTGACCCTCCCATAGACAGCAAGGTTACTACCATGTTCAATGTACAGAAACATTGTAAGGTTCATCTGTAAGGTCCAACATCAGTGGTTCAACTGTAATTTTATGAAGCTACAAGAATACTTTTTGTGCACAAAGAAAACAAAAATAACTGGTACTCTCGTGGTACTCTCGATAATGGCGGAGGACTGTCCTGGAAGAGAAGAAATCATTGAATTAAGTCATTATTTTTGTTTTCCTCGAGCACAAAAAGTATTTTTGTAGCTTCATAACATTACGGTTGAACCACTGATGTCACATGGACTATTTTAACGATGTCCTGACTACCTTTCTGGGCCTTGAACGAGTCAGTTGCGTTGGGTCAGAAAGCTCTCTGATTTCATCAAAAATGTCTTAATTTGTGTTCTGAAGATGAAGGAAGGTCTTACGGGTTTGGAACGACATGAGGGTGAGTAATTAATGAGTGAATATCCCTTTAAGTGTCCAAATATTTTTTAGGACAGCTGTAGATGTTTTAGAGATGAATAGTGTCATGTTTGTTTGTTTGTTCTTAACAGGGTTCTGGGGTCCCTCCAGAACTTTGAGGCCTTTTCTGAAGCATTTCATTGCGCACGAGGAGCTCCTATGAACCCCGAAGAGAAATGTCGAGTGTGGTAACCTGCCGCCGGAGATACAGGAGTCTGTGTATATTTTACAAACTAGGCAACGGTTAGGAGAGCTTGGATCATATTATGTTGTTCTGTGGCGGCTGCCTGGCTGTTAGTCTGATATGACGGACACGACCAAGGTGTGCGACACCTACATGTGTGACTGCATAGATGTCTACTGTGAACTTTCAAATGCGCACATATAACCAACGAGTGTAGGCGTCGTGAACGTGCACAGTGAGGGTGTTGTTTTTCTGGAAAAGAGGCATGCTTTTTCATTGTCTGTTTAAGAGACTTTTAAGCAAGATTTCGTCCTGTTTGCCTGTTTACAGGTTTCTTGTGACACATGACTAATTTTGGCATCGGAAAACACGTAAACGAAAGAGTTTCATTGTAACGACAGGGCTTATTGACATCAGATTATTTTTTCCAGATTATGTAAACGGATAAATCCCTCGGTTGGCTCTCGATTCTGTCGGCTCTCCAAGAAGATATCCGTTGTGCTTGAGCGGTCCCAACATTTTTTACGTTTTTAGTAGCTGGTTTGTTGCTGGTTTACCAACTCCAACCAACTTGGCCAGGTCAAAAAGTGACCTGTTTGTGAAAAGTTTGTTTTTTTGAACATGGTAGGTTTGTTACTGGTCTACCAGCTCTAACCAGCTTGGAAAAGACAGTTTACCAGGTTAAAGTCCAGCTGATGAACTATGTAGAGTAGCTTAAACCATTTTTGCTAATATGGTAATTGGTGGAAATGTTCACATTACATAACCTGCTGAAAAAAAACAGGTTATACCAAGTTAAAGTGATCAAGTTGGCTTTTTGAACATGGTAGCTGATTTGTTACTGGCCTACTGACTCTAACCAGCTTGGCCAAGATAGTCTACCAGGTCAAAGTCTAGCTGATGAACCATCAAGAGTAGCTTGAACCATTTTTTGCTTATATGGTCATTGGTGGAAATGTCCACATTACATAACCTGCTGGAAAATACAGGTCATACCATGTTAAAGTGGTTAAGTTGGGTAGCTGTTTTTATTGGTCTACTAACTCTTAACCAGCCTGCCCAAGATGGTCAAAGGGTCAAAGTTCATATGATGATCCATCTAGACAAGTTTGAACTCTCTATAAAAACCACCAACTATCTTGCAGGGAATGTGCAATTTTCAATTTTGTTCATAAATGTGGCATGTAGCACCAAAAAGTTTACTGTTAAGTTTTTAGAACATGGTAGCTGGTTTGTTAATGGTCTACCAACTCTAACCAGCTTGGAAAAGACAGTTTACCAGACCAAAGTCCAGCTGATGTACCATCTAGAGTAGCTTGAACCATTTTTTGCTTATATGGTCATTGGTGGAAATGTTCACATTACATAACCTGATGAAAAGAGAAGGAAAGAAGGAAAGAAAGAAAGAGGTTATACCAAGTCAAAGTGATCAAGTTGGCTTTTTGAACATGGTAGCTGGTTTGTTACTTGTGTGCTGACTTTAACCAGCGGCCAAGATGGTCTACCAGGTCAAAGTCCAGCTGATGAACCATCTAGAGTAGCTTGAATCCTTTATAAAAACCACCAACTGATGAGAATGTGTAAATTTGTTCATAAATGTGGCATGCAAAACCAAAAAGTTTACAGTTAAGTTTTTAGAACATGGTAGCTGGTTTGTTACTGGTCTACCAACTGGATGAACCATCTAGAGGAGCTTAAACCATTTTTTAAATATAGGTGGAAATATTTACATTACTTGCTGAAAAAGGAAACCTGCTGAAAAGGAAAAAGAAGAAAAAAAAAAAGGTTATACCAAGTTGAAGTGGTCAAAGTTTAGCTGATGAGCCACCTAGACTAGCATGAACCAACTCTAAACTCACATAAACCATGATTTTCCAGCAGAGAATATGTGATTTTGTACATAGCGGTGCCATAAAACACCAAACACCAAGATGATTCGTTAGGCAAAGGTCTCGCTCAAGGATCTGTTAGCTAGCATCATATCTCGTGATTTCATAAATTGGTCTGAGATTGTAGGCTAATGGGGCGGCAGGGGTTCATGTGTTAGCTGGAGCGTAGCAGACGAAGCGACAGCCAGCAGTTGTCTCTCAAATGGACACTTTAGGGGAGGCGGCCCTCTCATTAGAGATCCAGTCAAGGCCGGTGACTGTTATTTTCCGTCTTGATTAAGCAGTAATGACAGCAGAGCTAAAGAGCCGAACAGAACGGAAAAAAAATGATAGAAGGAGATGATGGAAAAGATCAAACGGACGTCAGGCGGCCACTGTAGGAGAAGAAATGGATTGTCGAGTTCTCAGAAAGCTTAGTGGAGTCAATATTGGCTTGCCTTGGTTTATTGATTATGACTGTTATCTCTCATGACAGAGACTTTGATCATTTGAATGTTCATATCTGCCTTTGAAGCTTCATTGCTAGCCAATCTAAACCTCGACACCACTGTAATGGCACGTACTGTTTGATGCACGGGACACATGCGATATATTGAATGCAAGCAACTTTGGAACAAATTAAACATTAGAACCTTGGCGGCAGAAAGGGTTTATGGTGATGAAGTGCCAAATAAAACATAATCCCTGAATTGTTAGTGCATGCATTTTCCAATGCAACACCCTGCCAGACAAGAAATGCAGGTCTGCCTCAATCGAAATTGGAAGGACTTGAGCTTTTACATGGACAGATACTGGTGTGGAGTAAATCTGGTGTGATTAGAAACAATACTAGAGCCAATAATGCACATATGTTATGCTCTATAGCTACAATATATAAAGTACAAAGAGAAATGTGCAGTATGATTCATTTATGTACAGTATTCAACATTGTTTTGCTTGATTTACTTGCCAGTGACGTCAATGCTATCAAAGTGCATTATGGCAAAATATCTTCAAAATATCAAAACATATGCACATGCAACACCATCAATTCCATAACAGCACGCATACATCAACCAGGCGCCTATTTGAGGCTTTTATTATATTGAGAACCAATAAAATGAGGTGTGATGTGAACTACCTGTTCTTTATACCGCAACATATTCCTGCCAAGGATTGCTGATGTGCAAATCTCATTTTAGAATAGCTGTTTTGTATCCTGTGAAATTAAAATATAAAATCACCCTCTGTGATTGTTTATAGAACTACCTTGAAGAAATTTGAGCTGAAGGAAAAATAAGTACATAATACCTATAAAATACCTTGCCAAGTGTGAATTGTAAAATAGCATTTGTGTACATTTTTAGTGTCTTCATTGTGTGGTTTTGAAGGTGTTTAATTAGAAGTAAGCTTATGATGAGTAATTATGAAGTCAGGAATCGTTACTTTCTTCTGTGCATTATGGGACAATGCCAAGAACTTGTCAGACACAAGAACGACGATTCACAATTCAGTTTTACAGATTCTGTTGTTACTTTTTACATTTTGTTTTTTAGTTCACGGATGTATCTCATGAAAACATGTCCAGGTTACATTTCGCAAAATCAAAAGAAAAAATCATGGGTAGTTGGCATATGTCCATAAACTTAATATAAACATTTATGTTCAAAATAAAGCATATTTTAGAACCATTAAGATTTATCTGAATTACGACATTACGTTCTTAAAGCATGACTTTCAAATAAATAAATAAACAACTATATATATATATATATATATATATATATACACACACACACACACACACACACACACACACACAGACACCTGGACATGGTTGCAGGTTTTATGAGATTGTCCTTTATGTTATGATATGCCACATGACTACAGATGCTGCTATGACAATATGTATTCTGTACATAGACCCGTTGACTGTTGAAAGGTTAATATTTACTGACAGAAATGCTCTTGATATTATATAGGGTCCATGTTTGGTTGAGACCATATATGTTTTAATGACTTTTCAAGTGAATGCTTTGTAGTTCTATCATCCTGCCAATACTGATTGTTCAAGCAAAAACATATGGCTTAAAATGTTATTTAGCTACCCTAAACATTGAAATATTGTTATATTATATAAGAGAAAATATGTAAGCTTCAAAAATAAACTTATATAAAGCAACAAATATATTCTGCATCTGTTTTTTCTTCTTCTCACATTCCGACATTAAAAAACACAAATACTTTGGTAAGAGATTTAATATATGCAATGTCATTCACATTCTTCAATTAACAAGTTGCATTCGATCAGACATGTTTGGAAACTTACCATAATAAATATGTTTATAAAAGAATCTCATTAAAGCAGTATATTTTAGTGCAAAGCTTAAAATACAAACTTGATTGATCAACTAATTGAAATGCATTTGGCAAAAAAAAAAAAAGAGGATCAAAATAGCATTACTGATCAACATATAAAATGCTTATAAATGTTCTTATTTCCTAGCTGTATGATCAGTGCATTATAGTTTAGAATGTAAACCAAAGCAATGAATCACATAAATGTAAAGATGATTTGAGTCAGATTAGTGGGAATACAACACTGGATAACCAGAAGTCACAGTCCATTCATCCCTGAAGAACTTTGAATCCTCTATCTTGTGCAAACATCTTCATTACACTGTAAAGGACACAGAAATTATATTAAATTGGTTGGTGTGAAAATGCATTAAAACTTGAGTATTATATAATATTGTATCTCACTTTTATTGCACAGACAAAAGAAAACATTGACACATTTTTCGAAATATCTTTGTGTTCGCCACACAATAAAAGGCATACAGGTTTGGAATTACAGGAGAATTTACTAGTAGGGTCAGTCTGTCAATGCATTTATGGCCGTGTGAAAGTAACTGCCACATCCCACACTCCAGAGGAAATGGCATTGGTGGCTCAAAGATGACGCCGGTGGTCTTTTATGGGTAAACAAGACCTGCGACATGTCCTGTTATTGAACTTCAAAGCACCATATACCCTAAAAGAGCAGCTGTGGTGCTTTTTTTCTTAGTTATATTAATAGAATATTTCAGAGTCACCAAATCGAGCTTATGCATTTCTGACAAACCAATAACATTTAATTCTGGGCATCATCTAATGGCAGAATACAAAAAAAATAAAACAAAACAAAAAAACGGGATTGTGAAGAATCAAATATGCACAGAAAATCAAGTGACCTTTATTCATATAGCACTTTATACAATACAAATTATTGTAAAGCAGCTTTGTAGTAATAAACAAGAAAATAACAGAATTACTGAAACAAAGTTAATCAATTATAAGAAATTTTGCTGTAAAGCAGCTCTAAAAAGACAATAGTGTCATGGTTCAGCTCAATTTAGTTTAATAACAGTGTAGAGTTTAATAATTATGAAACAAACTTAATTCAGCTATAAGCAGCTCTAAAGAAGTCAACAGCAATCAGTTTAATGTTTATTCAATTCACTTCATTTGTAACAGAATTGTATGTACAGCAATTCTGATTACAAAAATCATAAAAGAGATTCCCATTAATTTAATCAGTTTTGTTACACACCATGTTTTGGTACTTTTTTGTTCTGCGCTGATCCATTATTGTGGTCTTATTTCTTTTACTTCATGCCATAATCAAAAGTCTGTCTTCACGAGACACCCCTAAGGGGTCATTCACACAGAACGTTTCTTTGTGTCTAAAAAAATGTGAAATACATCGCTCAGGAATGGTTTTTAAAAAAAGCACAGGGCAGAATGCCTTCTCCGACAATTTGCTACTGTAAACAAAAGCTTGCAATGCTTGACCCAACTCCGGGGTCTTCTGATTGGTCCACTGTTTTAGAACTGACATTAGTCCCTTTCACACATACAGACTTTACTGGTAAATTACCGCCAAGAGATCATGTGAGAACCTTTTCAAAAATACCAGTAAATTCGTTTCGGCAATTTACCGGTCTGAGAAATTGTAACATTACCAGTAAGTTGCCGGAATGATGCTGTGTGTGAATGCAGAATGAAGATTAGCGGTATGAGAAAGTACGAGTTCAGAATGCGCTGACGTGAGACGTCTACTCTGGGCCAATCAAGAGCTGTTGAAATTCAAAATTCAACAGCTCTAGGCCAATCATAACATTTTGATGCAGATGACGCATTTACTACGCGCTGTGTAGTTTGATTTCAATTCGTGTAATTCAATGTCTCTGGGCCAAAAGTGCTGAATGAATGTGATCGTTTGACACAAAAATGAAAACATCAACAAAAACACCGCGTATACCCCTCCATGTTTACAAACACAACACCGGGAGGCGCTGCCGTTTAGAGGTCATTTCTGGTTAATGATGTCATACAGTTTACTGGTAACTTGAAACGGATGTGCTTTACCGGAAAAAAGACGGAACGTCGTTGCTTGTGTGAACAGCACATTTTTGAATTTACTGGTAAAGTCGTTCCAGTAATTTTACAGCAAGTTACTGGTATTACTGTGTGCAGTACCGTTGCAAGGGCTGTGCCAAGTGTGTGACCCAGGTGCGACCGCACAGGGCCTCGTTCCTCTAGAGCAGTGATCGAAGTTAGAAATTCAAATATTGTGACAAAATTAATTTTGTAGGGTGCCACAAGTTTGTTAAAATTTCCAAAGGGTGCCGCGACTAAAAAAAGGTTGGGAAACACTGCTCTAGAGGGCCTCACTCCTGGCCTGCATTTTATGTTGTTTATGCCTATTTTTTATTACTGTTTTTCCACCCATTTTGTACTTCGAAAGACTAAAATAGTCATGCTGATAGACAGTATAAGACTCTGTGTATAAGAATGAGTAAAGCTGTTTGTTGTTAGGATGACAAAAAGTTTTAAAAGTTAAACTTTTAGGCTGGTCTGCCTCAGTGGTCCAACAGCACTCGTCAATGTCAAAATGATCGAGATGGCCAATCAAATCAAAGAAGGCGGGTCTTACTGTCACTGTCACTACGCAACGAGAGTTCGTGGAAAGATGTAAGTAGTACTATATTAGAAAACTGTTTTACGATAGAAATGTTCAGCGACTGACAGTAATAGACTATAGATAGTGATGCAAACTACTCAACTTTTTATTAAATTTCGCAGTTTTGAATTGAAAATATGCGATCATGATTCATGTAAATCATAAATGAACGTGACAAGAGAAGATTACGTTTTCAACTACTAGACATACGAATAAGAGTGAATGTGCACATTTTAAATAAAATATTATTTTCGAATAGTGTAAATTGATTACTACTTCATATATAACTACAAACCTAGAACTTATTTTTAGCATTCTTATTTACTTATTCCCTTAAATAACTTTTAATCCTTTAATTATTTAATTGCATTATTATTATTATTATTATTATGCAGTAGATCTTATAATTCTTATGAGCATGTGCGTGACCGTGATTCATGCGCAAGCATGTCAGTGAGCACAGCATCACAATCGATCAGATGCGTGTTAAAGTTGCGTTCGTTACTATAGCAACCCCCACCCCACCCCCGTGACGACCCTGACTGTGTGAAAGGGGCTATTGATGAGCAGCGCTGTATGTCAAAATTGAAATTCACCCTTTGCTGGGAGTTTGACTGACAGGCGATCTGACCAATCATAACGCTGAATCCACCATTTTGTGGAAACAAATCAGTCAGGAGAGTAGATTAACTTTGGTGGACTTAAACTTGAAAAATAGTTTATTGACGTCTTTCCTGTTGAAATAAATTAACTTCTGATGTTCATTCATGTTTATTTTGTGCTTTAAGTAAATATGAAAAGACGATCGGTGTCACCGCGATGGTATTTTTCACTGCGTGAGAACATGATGAATAGTGTGAGAGTTTTGAATACACACTCTCTCAGAAAAAAGCTGTCACCGGGACTAGACCAAGATACAAAAGCCAAAAGGGACATCTTTGTACCTTATTTACCCCTAAATGGTGCATATTAGTATCTAAAGTCTACATATTAGCAGTGGTGGGTAGTAACTGATTACATGTAATCTGGGTTACATAATCAGATTAAAAAAATGAAGTACTTCTAATTAGATTACATTGCATTTTAAAATACTCATAATCAGATTACAATTATAGATTACATAATTACATATTATTCACATAATGGCAGTAAATTATTCATAATTTATTATTTCACCCCAAATCTTTTTGCTTTTTAAAATTTATTTTCTAAATGAATCTACCACTTGCATACAGTTTGGGAAACCTTGCAGTAATGTAATGATTAATGCATTTTTTGGTATACAATCGCATTCAAGTCTATGAGATAAATGAATTAGGTCAAAAGTAATCAGAAAGTAGTCAGACTACATTATTTAATATGTGTAATCCAGATTATGTTACCAACTACAATTTTCGTCATATAATTTGTAATCAGTAATGGACTATAATTTGTCTACCATTTTCAAAAAAGTGTAGCTTTGTACCTTTTTGTTCTGAGAGTGTCTGAAGTCTACTCAATCCCCCGTCACGTTTCCCTTGAGACTGTCCCCTGTCATCCAGTGACGACACTGGGTTTGGGCTCTTGACTGTGTCTGTTGGGCCCTTTCCTTCCTGAGGTGGTGCAAGAAGACCCTTGGGGCCGATCTGCTCTGAGATATGCTGCTGAATGACACCATGTTTATTCTCTGGATGGACTAAATGTCTTTTGGTAGTTTTAGGGGTGTGGTGTGACACAATGGATCCTTCTGAAAACCAGACTTTTGACTTCGGCATGAAGTAAAACAAATGAGACCACAAGTGCAGAAAAAAAGCATACAAAAAAAATATGGTGTGCGAAAACAATGATGAAATGAACTCTTTTTTGACTTTTGCAATCAGACTTGTTATACGGATCTGATACTATCTAGTATGCTCAAAGAAAAAAAAAACTTTTTAAAATATATTTTTCAACAATTAGAAGCTACAAATCTGTTGCAATTACAAGGTTATTATCGTGAATTAAAACTAAAACCAAATCCATTAACATTTGTTGATTAACAAATTGTTTTTGTTACTTGAAATAAAATATATGGTAACCAAAATATAACAACATCAAATATAAAATTTAACTTATTTTATTTCAATTATTTTCCAAAGCAATATTTCTCAATTTCTTTAAAAGTACTAAATTAAATTAAATAAAAAAATTAATCAATAAAAAGTAATAAATCCTACAGTATATAGACATTTAAAAAAAAAAAACACAACAAAAATGCTAAAACTTAAGCTTATATTTTCAGTTTTCACTTTAATTTTAAAATGACAAAAACCATATATACAGTAAAAACTACAACAGTATATCAATGATCCTAAATAGCACTGGTTGCAGGTTGGCAGGTTAAAATAACTTTTATATTGTTAACAATATTTCAACATAAACCCTTACTGGACTGAAGCATCTTAGGTTTACTTGATTATCTATCTATATATACGTATATATATATAAGTAAAACTGTGTGCTTATTTTTTATTTATTTTTTTTTTAGAAAGGTAATGTTAAAATGTGTTCAAATATGATCCATCAGGCTTTTGAGGAATGTTTATTTGTTAATATTCCAATATTTATATTCATTTTAAGTAGACTGTTACCGATTTACATAACAAGCTATCAGAATTAGTTACTTTTTGGCATATAAATATCAGCATCTGCACCAAATTGCATATTTTTGCTCAGCATTGGGCAAATTGTGTTTTTCTTCCTCGAGTATGAGCTCCATATTCTCATTATATCATATAATATCATATATAGTCTGTAAATAAAAGTCTGATGTATCAAATATGATACACAACCCAAAAAAAAAAAAAGGGTTTTACAAGGTTAATCTAACAATCAGTTTCTGTATATTTCTTCTGTTTCTCTGGAGATTTTCTGTAGAGGAAGTTTTTGCTTTCTAGGTTGGACACACATGAAGCAACGTTCACCATTTGAACACGGTAATTTAGTTCTGATTTAATTTAGTAATTTAGCATCTTGAGCTTGTCAAGGACGAGAAAGGCCAAAAGTGTAATTTCCTCCAGGATACCACCGTAAAACTCCTTACCTCAGACCACGCGTGACGTTAAGAGCTACACACACGTCCGTGTAAAAACCCCCTGTAATAACCAGCATCAAAAATAGCAGCCTGGGGAAATGCATCCGTTGGTTTTAGTGGGTTTTGTCGTTATATGAGCCCTCTGTAATCTCACGCCCAGGTGCGCCGTGGTGCCTCGGGCCGTTAAGATCATGTTAAACCAGGAGACCAGCCTCACAACAAGACTCTGTTCTAGCCTACAATCACTTCACTTGTTCAAACACCCAATTACACAAGCCAAAGCATCTGTGCTCCAAAATCAGACAGATTCATGCCTTTCTTTACAGAACAGCTAATTGTTAAGTTGCTCGCTGACATGAATTAGGTCACGCTGCAGCATAAAACAGATTCCTTAGTATGTCTCGTGAAGGCCTGTAAGGGTTTAATTGCACTTTTCCTCATATTCTGGTAAGATGTTATTCCAGTGAAATTCAGCAAAACAAGTTAAGGTTGTCTCTGGTGTTTACATTTTACAATGGATGTCTTTATATGTTCTATGTGTGCTTGCATAGATCAATGCAACCCAAAAATCGTACACTCTATAAACTCTTTACTGCAGTAAAAACCACAGTGAAATGGTCCTTGTAAAGTTTCCCTACATAATACACAATAAAAGTATTTACGCTGACCTCAAAACATACATTCATGCAAAAGTGGTTACATTTTTTAGTCAGTTAAAGTAAAAACATATAATAATGGGTAATGTTAGACAGTTTGTGGAGAAAAACCACTTGCTTTTTGACCTTAGGTAATATAATATCAAGCAACAGCTTGAGAACTATACTGAAACACTTCATCAAAACTAATTTTATAATCCAAAAATGTCAATGTGAGCCATTTAAAATCAATCAAAATATATTTTAGAGGTAGGCAGTATGAGTAAAATCTACACTGTTATGTGTAATGCTAAGAAAATCAATGATCAAATTGTTTATATATCAAATATCTGTGGTAAAGCCTATTGTCATATAATACAGTCAATTGAATGCTTTACGTACGAAAGATACTTCCTCATTTATTTTATTTCTGACTTGATGGATCGAATGAATAAGTCTGGCAACAGTGCCAAAACAGTTTCACATTATGTAAAACCCGAGTTAAAAATCACCAAACAGTAACACTAATATAAATGTATAGTTCAGGCTTTAAATTCTGTCTGCTGCATTGAAAGTTGTTGTAAAAAGCTGATATATGCACGCAAGTTTAATTCTAAAAATCACTTCTCATGCATTTCTATCCTGTCCTAAAAGATATCATTATGTATTGCAATGCAGTTCCTGTTACCATAAACAAACCCAGAAATAACTTCGAGTCAGAACTCCTGACTAATTTACCCAGCAGTAAACACAACTGTATTAAATCGGACTATATTCCAGTATCAAAGAGGCTTGACGTCACAAATGCTTCTTGTTTTACCTGTGGCTTTTCACCAGCCTGAACGTTCACCGAGATCCCGAGAGCTTTGGTGATGTCCTCAAGAGATACGTTGTCTGCGGGCGTTTTCTGGACAAAATGCAGCAGAACCTTTTCTCCACCTGAACAGAGTGACACATTTTTACATTGTGATATTGTTTCCATGGCATTTAAGCACATTTTACCTTTAATTTTCATATAAACATATCATATTTTAATATTTTATATATATATACAGTATATGTATATGTTCCTGTTGCTCAGTGGTAGAGCGTTGCGTTAGCAGCGCAAAAGGTCTCCCTGGGAACACACATAGTGGTAAAAAATGTATAGCCTGAATGCACTGTAAGTCGCTTTGGATAAAAGCGTCTGCTAAATACATAAATTATTATCATAATTTATTATCATAAATTATTATCATGATTATTAATATATATATATATATATATATATATATATATTAATATATATATAACACACTGCTTTAATTGATGGACTGGAGTGGTGTGGATTATACTTGTGAATTATTGTGATGTTTTTATCAGCTTCATCTTGGATGCCCTGAGGCCTTTTCAGCAAATTTTCATTTTTGGATGAACTGTCCCTTTAAACCAGAGGTCCTCAACTCTGGCCCTCGGGGTCCACGTTCCTGCGAACGTGGAGCTAAACTCTGCAGGAAAGTGGACCTCGAGGGCCAGAGTTAAGAACCCCTCCTTTAAACCACCCATGCTGTTTACACAAAGACAGAGAAGCAGTGCAGAGACTCATCAAATCCTTAAACATGAATACATTATTTTAAATTGTTAATCTTTGCTACAGGCAGATTTCTTCATATTATTTCGCATTGTTAAGCATAGAGCAGATTTGCATGTGCTAGATTTTGTAAATGTGAAGTCTTGCTGCCCTCTAGTGATAATAAAACAGACTGCTCAGATTACAGGGCTCAGTTCTCCTCTTAAACACTTTATCAGTACACAGAGAAAGTCAAAGATAATCATTATAATAACATGTCTATCTAACTTCAAGACTGGACCAATACATTTACTTTTGAGAATGATGAAATGCCTGAAAATGTGACAAACATTGTAATTTTACCTTTTGCGACGATGAGCATGCCTCCACTCTGCAGAAGATCTCCACTAAAGTTTCCATGAATTCCTTCTGCACTTGCCTACAAGAAAGTGTGTGATAAACCGGAATCAGAAAAGCTGAAGTCTTTAAAAGGTTTAAGATTGCATGCACATCTTGAAATGATGAGCAATTATTTAACACTTAAAATAAGGTCATTATTACAATTTTTTACAAAAAAGACACCTAATAAATCATTTAATCACTAAGTCTCATTATACCAGAATTATCATTTACAAGCGTAATGTGTAATGTGTTATAAATACCTTTGAGGCAATTTCTCGTACGCTCTTTCCCATAGCAGCTGGAATCACATTCACGGCATTGTACCTGAGTTTGAAAACCAGAAATATTTTTGTTCATTTTGACATGCTTGTGTCACAGTCCATCATACACATTCAAAAAAAAAATATTCATGAAAACATATATTGCAAGTTCCCTCATACCTTTTAAAGCCTAAATCGTTGTAACACTGTTTCTTCTCATCAATGTAGATGTCTAAAACAAAGACAAAGTTAAAGATTCACAGGATCAGGAAGATTGTAATGATAGCCAAGGTAAACACAGGCATGGTAACCATAGTAACAGGTCAAAGAATTACAGTAAAAGACAGGAATTCAATCACCAATAAATTCAAAACTAAACACACACACAATGTGCTTAACCTGAGGTTATCACTTATTTCACAAGAAGGAATGCAAAGTAATGCATTTGCATTAACAAAACCTGAATCCAGCGTGATTCGACAATTTGAGCATCTTGGGCTTCAATATAAGCAAGAAAGTCTGTACAAAGTCACATGATCAGTGTTACTCAGTAACATGCATTTATAAATAGTGCCCAATCTGAAATAATTTGCCTACCTTTTATAACATTATACCATGCATTATTTTACTGTTTTCATTTTATTTACAGGTTTAAATGTTTATATCTCTTAAAAAAAAAATTAAAAAAAAAATAATAGTCCGTGCGCCTCGGGTGTGTGCAGCGAGAGAGAGAGAGAGAGAGAGAGAGAGAGAGAGAGACGACCCCCAATGAGACCCAATATTATAAGCACTTTTCAGTGCAAGAAAGGTCTATTTAGTTTATTGACAATATACAGGTGCATCTAAAAAAATTAGAATATCATGGAAAAGTTCTTTATTTTTTTGTAATTTAATTAAAAAAAGCAAACTTTCTTATATTCTAGATTCATTGCACACAAACTGAAATATTTCAAGAGTTTTTTTTTTTTGTTTTAATTCTGATGGTTACGACTTACAGCTTAGGAAAATTAAAAATTCAATGTCTCAAAAAATTTGAATATTTTCTAAAAGATCAATCAAAAAAAGATTTACAAAACAGAAATGTTCAAGATCTCCAAAGTAGGTTTAATTATGCACTCAATACTTGGTTGGGGCTCCTTTTGCACAAATTTTTAGCACGAAGAGAATTACTGCTTCAATGTGGCGTGGCATGGAGGCGATCAGCCTGTGGCACTGCTGAGGCGTTATTGAAGCCCAGGTTACTTTAATAGCAGCCTTCAGCTCGTCTGTATTGTTTGGTCGGATGTTACTTATCTTCCTCTTGACAATACCCCTTAGATTCTCTATGGGGTTCAGGTCAGGCATGTTGGCTGGCCAATCAAGCACAGTAATATCATGGTCAGCAAACCACTTGGAAGTGGTTGTGGCACTGTGGACAGGTGCTAAAGTCCTGCTGGAAAAGGAAATCAGCATCTCCATAAAGCTTGTCAGCAGATGAAAGCGTAAAGTGCTCCAAAATCTCCTGGTAGACGGCTGCATTGACTTTGGACTTGATAAAACACAATAGACCAGGGGTCGGCAAGTAAGTTTGGTATCGGGCCAAAAGAAAATCGCCACTAGATGGCGGGCCAGAACATAGTCAAAGGATAATTTAAGAAGAATATTAATTGATGAAAAATGCAACCAGAATTGCCTGTGACAGACTGTTACAGTGTCTTTTGTAACTGGTAGTGAGCTTCTTCATTCACCAACTTGCAACACAGAACGCCTTGCTAAAACACACATATGTGGGAGATGCGGAATGGATAAAAAATAATTCAAAAAAATAAAAGAGGACTTGGATAAGCCCATTAATAGCATGCTTGAGTTATGCGCTTAACAAATTATGTTTTATTTCCTCTTTCCATATTGTGAATAATAAATGTGTATCATTTTAATTTGCTTGTTACACAATGGAGCCTAACTTATTGTAATAATTATTTGACGTAGCCTACTTTTACACTCAGAATTATTCCTTGGCATCCTCACGTACTAAACTGCATTTTTAAAAATTGTTTGCATGCTGGAGGTACGCTGTTACGTCGTGTGCAGAGTGGTGTTAACATTTAAGCTAACTGGTGAGAGAAAATGGCACTATCATAGAGTCTAAAGAGGAAAGTTGACAGCGAAAATAGGGCATACAAAGAAGAATGGAAAGACAACTATGCGTTCATCCTACCTAGTTTTGTGAATGCAAAGCCGGTGTGTCTTATCTGCAACGAAGTTGTTGCTGTTTGCAAAGAATATAATATTAGACGGCACCAAGAGACGAAGCATGGCACCTTCAAAGTGGCCTTTCCGCTCCAAACAGAGGCACGAAAGCACAAGATTGAAGCACTGACAGCAAGCTATGCACACAGCAGCAGGATCCTAGTGCGGGGCCTCACAGATCAACAGAAAGTGACAAGTGCGTCCCTAAAAGCGTCTTGGTTGCTCTCACGACACAACCGGCCATTCACTGACGCAGAGGTTTTCAAAGAGGTTATGGTGACAGTTTCGGAAGAACTGGCGGCTACTGACAAGTCGATGAATGCTATTATTGCCTCTGTGAAACAGTTACCCCTATCTACGAGGTTCGCTATCCGGCACATAGATGCGCTGCCGGATGCTGTGCAGGAAGTTATGATCAGTGGTCTCAATCAGGCCAACTACTTTTCCCAAGCCATTGATGAGAGCACTGACAACACAGATGTAGCCCAGATGTGCGTCTATGTTAGATACTTTGATGGAATATAATGATGGAAAATATTTATGAAATTGGAAGAGTTGTTTAGGCTGCATTCATTGTCATTTGAGAAGGTTAACCTAATCGTGACATACGGGGCTCCTGCTATGGTGGGAAAGCACAGAGATCTGGTAAGCAGAGTGAAGGAGATCGCCCCCCAAATACTTGGACTGCATTGCCTCATCCACCAGAGTGTCCTCTGCGCCAGGCTCAGCGGAGAGCTAAAGGAAGTAATGGATAAAGTGATGAGAGTAATTAATTTTGTCAGGGGAACATCAAACACACAGTATCGTCTTTTCCGACAAGTTGTGGCCGAGTCAGAAGAGGCCACTTACGATGACTTGCTGCTACACAATGACGTGCGCTGGTTAAGCAAAGGAAACGTATTGGGCCGCTTCTGGATGAGGTCAAGGCGTTCCTTAAATTAAGCAAGATTAGGGCAGCAGCTGATCACCTTGCCCTCCAGGAAGATGAAAAATTCATGTCTAATGTTGCATTTTTAGCGGATACATTTGGCCACCTAAACCAGCTTAATCTGCAGCTACAGGGGAGAGGCAAAACCATATAGCGGACATGGTTGAAAAACTGGAATCATTCACGAGGAAGCTGGAGTTGTTGGAGTCCGATATTTCAACTGGCCGGCTGCTACATTTCAGTACACTAAAAACATAGGCCCTGGGACAAGTGACAGAGCTGATGGTGGACTTCATCAAGCAGCTACAGGCCAACTTCACTTCTAGGTTTGAGGACTACTCTGTCCCAAAGGATATTATTGCTTTTGTGCATGACCCTCTCACAGTCCGACCAGGAGACTTCTCCTCCCTGGTGAAAAAAACGATCCCCTTGTTGGACGGGGCAGCATTTCAGATGGAGTTAATTGATTTCCAAACAACTTCCCTGGTCATTGATGCGCTCAGAAGTGCGGAGTCTGTGAGTGCCTTTTGGGTGGCATGCTTAAAAGAGTATAGCACAACCAAAACACTCGCATTTTATGTGCTGACAATGTTCCCTTCCACCTATGCATGCGAGTCGACCTTCTCATCAATGAATGTGATAAAGACACATGAGAGAAATCGACTGACGCATAAAAACCTGGGCCCTCATTTATCAACAGTGCATAGAAAAGGTTCTATATTTTGTCCTAAGAATGAAAGTTAGAATGTGCCTAAGTACAAGAAAATCCGTATTTATCAAACGTGCGCACGCAGTTCTTACGCACATGAGTAAGCTATCATTGTTGATAAATCCCACATGTGCGTAAGTACCATGCTCGTTCACGTTCATGGTCATTTGCATTCGGAAATGCCTCCAATGAACCATATATGGTGACAACACCTCCCTTTATAAATCACGTAAATGTATGTGTCCTCACCGAAATCATGGCAAAGAAAGCGGTACCGACTGACGGTGCGTTCCAAACGGGATATATCACCCTCCGAAGGGCACTTCGGAGTGAAAAAAATCATGGCTGCCATATTGAAGGGTCGTTCCAAACCGAAGTGCTCAGAACTGGCCACTTCAAAGGGCCCTTCGGAATGAAGAATTTCGAAGGGTACAACTGATGGACACGTCGGGCTCCCATGATCCTTTGCGCAGATTCTTTGCATGATGACGGCGCCTCCGTGTGGGCACGTGATGACGATGCAGAAGGGCACTTCAAGAAACAGTTGTTTGGTCCCCTACACCCTTCAACACTTCAAAGCTCTCACTCCAGAGGGTAAACCCTTTGAAGGGGTTAGGGCATAGGGATGAGCCCTTCCGAATGGAATGCAGGGTGAGAAGCCGTTCTGTGCTCTCACTCTCAGCGCGGTCTTTGAAAACACGTTCTCTGCAGAGCGCACTGTTTGGCAAGTTTTCAAATAACGCAAGATAAGCCATTGCACAGTCTGAGACAAACATTTGTCACAGCTGTCTTTTATAGGGTTTGACACCAGTTATACAACTTGTCTGTTTAAAACTAGACAAATTATAAATTGAATGTTTTATAATTAAAGGAAACACAGGACATATGTGGATTGCTTAATGCATACTGTGACACAATTAAATGTTTTTTATGTGTAGTGTCGCTATTCTACCACTAGATTCTCTGCGTAAGCATGCTCAGAGGTGTGCTTATATTTACACACATTTCCACGTATAAGTACAAGTTGGTAGATCCCACACTTTGCGTGAAACTGTTCTTATGCACTCATTACGCACACATCTGTGTGTATGCACTGTTGATAAATGAGGGCCCTGGAGAACTGTCTACGGATTAAAGTGACATCCATATCACCCAACATCCAAAAAATCATGACTGATGGAAGATGCCAGTTTTCACATTTAGTGAGTAGCCTACTAAGCCTGTGTAATAGCCAAAATGTATTTTGAATGTAGTTACTGAATTTCATCTAACTTTAACTCTATTCATGTAGCCTACTCCTATTTACTGTCGTTTCAGGAGTATAAGCATATGCACCCCCAGCTGTTCTGCATCCATGATCAAGAATTTTTTTTTTTGCTGATTGTCTTGTCAATCTTTTTGATAAAAAGGAAGCTGAATTTGCTTTGTTATTGTTCATGTGTTGGTGCTGAGGCCCCGCGTTATAAGCAAATGTTTCAATGGTTCACTGTTAGTTTTTTCATACCACACATTTCATGATGGCTATTTTAGAGGTGTGTCTAGCGATCCACAGACTCTTTTGAATGTCTTACAGAACTTTTTTAATTAAAAGTTCTCAATTCATCTCAAAATAAAACATTGCTGTAAAAACGTTCTCATACTTTTATTTTGAAGGCAAAATCACTAAAGACGAAGTGATTGTGAGTAACTGTTGCTGTCATGACAGATCTATTTCAGAACCAGCTGCTATCAAAATAATCTTGTTGCGGGCGCGGGTCAGATATTATTGCTGGTGGGCCAGTCTTGGCCGCGGGCCGCCTGTTGCCGATCACTGCAATAGACTAACACCAGCAGACGTCACGGCACTCCAAATCATCACTGACTTCGGAAACTTCACACTGGACTTCAAGCAGCTTGAATTCTGTGCCTCTCCAGTCTTCCTCCAGACTCCAGACCTTGATTTCCAAATGAAATGCAAAATTTACTTTTATCTGAAAAGAGGACTTTGGACCACTGAGCAACAGTCCAGTTATTTTTCTCCTTAGCCCAGGTAAGATCCTTCTGACGCTGTTTCTGTTTCAGACGTGGCTTGGTAGCTCTTTTCCTGAAGGCGCCTGAGCATGGTGACTCTTGATGCACTGACTCCAGCTTCAGTCCACTCCTTGTGAAGCTCTCCCAAGTGTTTGAATCGGCTTTGCTTGACAGTATTCTCAAGCTTGCGGTCATCCTTGTTGCTTGTGCACCTTTTCCTACCCAATTTCTTCCTTCCAGTCAACTTTGCATTTAATATGCTTTGATACAGCACTCTGTGAACAGCCACCCCTTTCAGAAATGACCTTCTGTGACCTACTCTCTTTGTGGAGGGTGTCAATGATTGTCTCCTGGACCATTGCCAAGTCAGCAGTCTTCCCCATTATTGTGGTTTCAAAGAACAAGAGATACCCGGAATTTATACTATAGGGATGGTCATTTAATGAAACTCAAATGTAAATATTCTAATATTTTGAGATACTGGATTTTTGACTTTCATGAGCTATAAGCTCTAATCATCAAAATTAAAACAAAAAAAACTTTAAAATGTTTTACTGTACATGTAATGAATCTAGAATATATGAAAGTTTCACTTTTTGAAATGTTACAAAAAGAAAATCTTTTTCATGATATTCAAATTTTTTGAATATCATCTACGCACCTGTAGATGTGTTCAAAACGTTTATGTAAAAGTATAGTAAAGGTAAATGGAAACAGTGTTATATAATAATAAATTACAGAAGCAATAGTGACATTTTTTCAGAGAAATATATTTTAAATCTGAGTGTGAACAAACGCAAATAGTGTAGCTAGTATTGAAAGCAACTGCACAAATTGTCTTGTGCAAGAAAAATACAAACAGTGCAAATGATTCACAAACTGCACACAAAATGAGAGAGAAATTATGCTGAGTGCAACAGAACAAATAGTGCAAATGATCTTTAGAAAACTATATAAGAATTATTTACATAATATAACAACCAAATGGATCGATCCGCAGGCTGTACTCTGCGTTGGAATCGATTCTACCGCGTTGTGAAAACATAAATTCCAGTGCTTTATCTGATATGTACGTTTCATCCTTGTTTTGGTTTGTTTAATGTCAAAGTGCTCTATCGTGTGTTTTTCTGTGCTTTGTCAGAGAGTGCTCTCATGCAAATGTGTTATTTTATAACTGTTTTCATGCACGCACAGCGCACTTTACTTTCACTTTGCGCTTGTTCAAATTTCCGAAGAAATATGCTTAATTGACCCTTTGCAGGGAGTTTGAGTGACAGGCGATCTGACCAATCATAACGCCGAATCCACCATTTTGTCCAACAAACAAATCAGACAGGAGAGTAAATTAACATCAGTGGACTTGAACTTGAGAAATGGTGTGTATTGATGTCTTTCCGCAGTTGAAACAAGATACCTTCTGATTTTCATTCATGTTTATTTCATGCTATAGCTAGTAAAGAGGAAGAGACGATCGGTTCACATGCCGCTTGAACTGAGGCAATACAGTGATCTGTCACGGTATTTACCATCATTTTTGTAGCATTTTTAAGCATTTGTTTGGCTCAGAGGAATAAAATACATAGGTTTCTTTTGACAAATTAATGCTCATCAAAATGTCATGACGTTATCACATTCACTACGGAGCCTATGAATGTCCAAATGAGACAAATGCAATATCTCCGAAAAGCAGAGAATCTCCTTTTTACGAGACTTGATTGGATTAGTGGTTCAAAACGTATTAAACACTTAAGAACAATAGTTAAATTTAGCCGTGGGCGGCTGTCTCGGTCTTTGAAGGTTAAAAAATTAATGGAAAAGAAATGAAAAAAAAAAAATCATGTTTTTCAAAGTCTTGACAGATTTCCAAAGTTTGGTTCCTATACTAAAAACAGTGGATTTTTAGAAATGTTTAAGCATCTCTTCTGGGTCAAAATGTAATCAAATGCATTTTGATGGTAAAATGAACTTATTAGATTTTTTACTATAGTCTATATTTGAGCAACATTAGTGTAAAACTATGAAATTAGGAACAACACTAAAATATAAACCAAGCTATGTAACAAATCCTCACCACCCTTAAAGAATCCCCCATCCTTGAACTCCTTCACTCCCGTCTCTTCGGGTCCGATGCCGATCAGAGCGACACCATTTGCTTTCAGGTCCTTCTCCAGTTTACTGACCTCCGCTGCCATCCACCGACACACCTGACAACCAAACCTCCGCAAGAAGAAGAGAACAACTGTCTGCTCCCGCCACAGAGAACCAATCTCCACCATCTAATGAACAAGATACGAGACGACGTGGACGACAAGACATACTCAAAGTGAATGAGTTTCCATGTTTCTTTCATTATTTCCAGTTCATGGATGAAACGAACTTTATTTACATTTTTGGGTAGTTGATATTTTATATGATGCTGTGACGATGAGAGTGATGTGCTAGAGGTAATTTAAAACTAATTTTCTAATTATTTTATACATAACTGGTAATCTCATAATTAAGAGACTATATAATTGTCATTATCATATGTAACGAAAAGTAACAGTCATGATTCTGAAACAAATGAATGCTCATGGACATTATTTGTTGATGGTTAAGTGACTTACTGAGTGAGAATGATTTATTTTAATAAACTGATTTACAGTAAGCCTTTAAAGGGGTCATATGATGCTGCTAAAAATAACATTATTTTGTGTATTTGGTGTAATGAAATGTGTTTATGCGGTTTAAAGTTAAAAAAACACATTATTTTCCACATACTGTACATTATTGTTTCTCCTCTATGCCCCACCTTTTTGAAACGCGTCGATTTTTACAAAGCTCATCGGTCTGAAAAAGCGAGGTGTGCTTTGATTGGCCAGCTATCCAATGCGTTGTGATTGGCCGAATACCTCAAGCGTGTGACGGAAATATTACGCCCCTCACATACTGTTGATGCCGTGTCCCGGCCGGAGCGACGAGACAAAAACATTAAAACCCATTACAAAGAAGGCATTTGTTGCATCCAGTGGGGACATAATTACTGATTATAATGCCTTGTACTGTTTTTTTACGCGTTGCGTTGCATCGCGCTGCGTAAACATAAAACTCTGCCACGGTGAAAGCCAATCCGGCGATCCACAGCGCAACGTTGTAGTATTTCCTCTTCCGTCAGCGACCAGCACAGATCAGCTCTAGGCATGACGAAGCGGATATCGTCCTCTTTTGGAAGACCAAACAAAGGTCTTTGTTAGTTTCGCTTTCACAACGAAGCACACAGCGTCTTCACGACATGGCTGCAGCGTCAACAAAACTACAGTGAGACTAAAAGTTACGCCTTCTTTCTTTGCGTGAACATTTGGGCGGCGTTATGCAAATCTTCCCACATAGTGAGGTAGATATGTGGGGGCGTGTTAGAATGAGCCGTTTTAGGTAGGTGTGGCTGACTCTGAACTTTTATAAAGAATATCTCTTTGGATTTGAGACTTTAGTCTTTGCAACTTTACAGATCTTCTTTATGCACCAAGAGCTTGTAACACTCCAAAGAGAAAGGAAAAATTGAAATCGCATCCTATGACCCCTTTAAATTAAACTGAGTCACATGCATGTTTTATATGGTTTGAAAAATATACCTTTGAAAATGTACAAAAAAATCTAATATTTCAGAAGGCAAATCTATTACATACATAATGTTTAAAAGTATTACATTTCCATATATTTCATATTAATTTAATAATATTCAATATTTGATAATTGATTTTTAAAAATATTTTTAGAAGACACTACAGTACAGGTACCCAATTAGAACAAGAAACCCCCAAAAGAAACCCCCTACTGCTTAGGTTTGAAGTGTTGTTTACATTATAAAGACTTGAATGTGTTTTCATCATTGCATTTGACACCTGCAAGCGGTGAACGAGTTCTCATTTACACCTGGAGTGTGTTTATATCACATCAAGCAAACTGTTCCCAAGGGTCTTCACTTTAAAAACATCAATTACATCTTAACAGGTGCAGTGTGAGAAGAACTCATACAATCAAGAGGAAAAACGGCATTACTTTAGTTTACAAAGTCATGATATAGAGGGCTGACACCATGTGAATCATTAAAACAGGAAGTGTTTCATTTTTCATGAAAATACTTTGAAATTGTTATTTAAATTTTTTGAATATAACGTAGTAAGTAGTATTTTCAAGAGCCAGGTTTCTTTAGTACTATTGAAGTTTAGGAATTCATTCATTGACAGTTTGCACATGAACATAGCACTGTATAGTCTGCTCATTATGACTTATAGAAACATTGCGTGTGAATTATTACCTCTCCAGACGTGGTGTTTTTCACTTGGTTGGCTCCTAAGCCGGTCAGATTCACGGATGACATTTTCTTAGTGTTTATTTTTTGCTTTCAGGTGTAAAATTCGTCCTTGTTCCCTCCAACGATTTTTACACTTTACACAAGCATAGAAAACATAGACTGTATACAAACGCGCCGCTGTTATATACACACGCCCACTTGTGTAAGACATGGCGTGAGCGACAGGCGTATGGACCAATCACCGCGTCAGGGATTCAAACCATGCGCTCGAGGGGCGGGACATATTACATAAATATGACAAAGGCAACTCTGTGTGATTATTTATGCAACAATACATCTTATCTTAAAGCCCCGAATATATTTTTTTCACAGTACAAACTCAATATTTCTAAATGTAAATTGATTCTATGAATAACACACACATTGGTTTTTTTGCAAGATCAGTTTTAACGTAGGCCTTTTCTATAAGATAATTTAGGGTGTGGTTTATCTGTACATCAAAGGTCAGATTTCAGTCTTCATTTGAACGTTGTAATGATTTACATTCAATAATCAATACAGACCAAGAAAGAAAGAAAAAAAACCCTAAGGTATTTTACTCAGTTTCTGTGTGTATAGTAAATAATTGACTTCAGAATAGTGTTGGTTTGCCAGTCCTTAATAACAGGTCTTTCAACACAAAATAAAATTGCTTAAAATGTAAATAAAAAATAAAATAATAAAAACAAATCTCATAATGTCAATGTAAGTAATGTTTAATCACTTATGTATAAATAGGGAAAATAATATGCTCCATTCAACACATACATAGGCCTATAATCAGAGGTGGACAGTAACGAAGTAGGCCTACAATTACTTGAGGATTGTACTCAAGTACGCTTTTTGAGTATCTGTACTGTACTTGAGTATTATTTTTTTTCATATGACTTTAACTTCACTATGTTTGAAAGACAAATATCATACTTTTCACTCCACTACATTTCTATCATGGTCCTCGAAGTAGAAAATCGTTACTATGTAGCAGCTTTGAAAGTCAGTGGGTGATTTTTTTCTTCTCTAAAACGTAACTTTTTTTCAGACCATGTAGGGCCATGTGAAGTGATTTCCCAGCATGTTTTGAACACTGACCAGATGCAAATGTGATATTTATTTACAACAATTCAGTAATAAGAAGTTAATATTATGGTGTATATATATTGTCTGATTTTGCAAAATTGTGTAAACGAAAATATTACCTATAAAGCCACAGAAGAACTGTTGTGCGTCTCCAAAACACAATAAGTGTCTGACTTGAAGCAGCACTGCACAGTTCTGTGTATCAAAGTACCACCAGAGCGAGAGAGCAGTTTTGAATGTATGTTTTGATATCAAATAAATCTTGCTTTTTTGTTAAAGCAGTGTTGCTGTTGTAAAGTTACAGCTACAGTTGTGTTGCTGGGTTTTAAAGCAGTTTTTTTCCCCCTATCAGTTTGTATTTACAGCAATTTCACTGTCAACACGGTTCAAATGTAGATGAATGGCTACATGTGTGCACACACTGCCAGAGCTGTGTGAGATGATCACTACCCTCCTGCTTTTGTGTGGGTGGGTAGGGGTGTTAAATAATTTTATTTTTTTTTAACATTCTAAAAGCTCTTTATTTCAAGGTTACTTATAGTGTATTCAGTATAATATATTGTAAGTTGCTTCAGAGGCATAAGGTTGCAGGTATTACATACAACAATAGCAATACAGCGCCAGTGTGTAGGTGAGGTACATTGAATCGCTGACACGAGAGAACAGTTTAGTCAAGCCTTTAATGGCGACGGCCAACACAACAATGACAAGAAGCCCAAGTGCGAGCTCCGCCCAGGCCAACGTGGTCACGAACAACGTCAGGAGTCACGTCACGATCCACGACACACTTCACATACTGGTGCCACCCATTTTCCCTCCAGAACATACCCCCTCTTCTCTGGCACCTGTGGACAGTTGAAACAGACAAAAAAAGGGGAAACAAAAGAGTGACATGTGACGATAAAAGATGAGTAACCGGAACCATCTGTCTAGTGAGAACAGCACAGCAGATCCTTATGGAGCCTTGCAGAACATTAATGCAAAGCTACAACAAAACTCTCTCAAAGCAAAGCAAGGATACGGGTGAAGGCAGCCCATCTAGTGCAGCTCATAATCCTTTAACTTGTCGGGAAGTCGACGGAGACGGCCTGACCGCCGAGGAGTCTGCACCGGAACAGCTGAGAGGGAGGCTAACTCATGTCACGGGACCTCCACCGAACCTGATGGGGACACGATCCTTCCCTCCGGACATCCGCTGTCATCAGACCCAGGGGGTGAAGCGGGTGTCGCTATCGCCAGGGGGATGTCAGGGTCGCTCGGAGGTGCAACAAGTGGCACGTCGCACTCATCTTCGCTCTCAGATGCTGCACCGTTACCACAATGACCTGTGACACTTGGGAAAGGTCAACTTTATAACAATCTGTTAAGCGAACCCTATAAGAAGTACGCCGCAACTGGGAACCCGTAAACTTACGGACGTTGCACCACGTCCCGTCTGAAATAAGCACAAGATATCTGTTTCGAGCTCGTGACTTGTTACGGTCGCTATACAAATACACAAGGTCGCCAGGGCAAATATCAAGGCTAGGTGCACCCCGACTTAGTGGAGCTTTAGCTTTAACACTGTGGGGGTGGTTAGCCAGGCGTTGTGCATGCTGCAACGCAATCAGTTCCCGGTCAAGCACCGGTAACTGTTCGAGAGAGAACTGATCACGCTGCAGCAGCATCTCACGGGCTGACATGCCACGTGACCGAATACGGCTATTTAACCGAGCAACAGCTACAGACAATAGTAAGGGGGTGACGACCCCACAGTGTGGTTCTAGTCGCAAAATCTCGCCCTGTAGCTCCTGGATGGCCTTTTCGGCCACCGGATTTTTGTTGATATTTTTAGCATCGCCAACCTCAATGGCCAGCCTGTGTTGAGCAAACACTGTGTCCTTGGCCAGTGCTGAAAAACCTGGTGCTGGGTCAGTTCTAACTACAGCAAAGGGGCCATCAAGCGGACGAAGGCCAATACACAAGCGCACAATACCATCCCGCAATGTTTCCTTCCGTTCGTCATCAATTAACAAAGCAGCTGTAAAGGATGTCACACACTCACGAACGACTAAGATGAGCTGGCGCTCACGTTTAAGCACGTCAGCTGCAAAAGTAGACCCGACCGTCTCAGGTGGATCACAGCTGGACTGCTCCACTGCGAACACAGGAGACTTAGTCAGTGCAGCACATTGGTGACATCCCTTACTGGTAAGCTGGATGGCTGAATCCAAGTCCAGCGCGTAGAAGTACCGGCCAACGACAAGTCTCAACTGGTGAGCCGAGGGGTGGTCTAACCTAATGTGCAATGACATAAGCAACCCATGCAGTACTGACCTTGGAACAACGATGCATTCGGTTGTGTTTGACAGTGGTGTGTCACGCCGCACAACTAACAGCCCATCACTTGCTAAGGTAACAGTATTCAAATACCGTTTCACATCTTTGACATTGGTAACTCTCTTGGAAGGGCGTGTACCCTGCCGAAGATGTGCGCGTACCCTGCGGAGGTCTGGACACTCAGCCTGAATAGACACCCATGTGGCCCTATTGGCAAAGGGCAACTTCTGAGCTCCCCGCAAGATGTCGGCAACATCAGTACGGCACACGACAGAGACCATGGATTCACGGACGAAGCTACACACCTGACATGCCGGACTGTCACATTGTGCAGCATGGCGACTAGCATAATCTGAAGGGAGAATAGCAGCCCCAGCAACATGACGAACTGAGACCTGAAAGCGGCTTGCAGTAGACAAGAAAGTAGTAACACGTGGGCTCACAGAAAATTCCCCCCTACACAGCTTCTCAAAGGCCTGTACGCATGGTTTACTCTCAGTGAGCACACACGCCTTCTGTGATGACTGAGTAATATATGGACCAAAATGCTTCAGAGCAGCGGCTCCACCTTAGGATTGAAGGATATGTCCTCGCTGTCATCCTCGAACTCGCCGTCGGAGTGACATGGAGAGCCAGCAACTTGCCGCGCCCTGGCAATGAAAGCTTTGTCTGGAGGGGGCAGGAAAGGGCACTTACTGAGGAAGTGATTGTCCAGTCTGCGAGCCTCCTTACAGAGTGGGCAGAACTTCCTAGACCGACCCAGTGAAGCAAGCTTCTGTCTTGGAGGGTTAGAAACGGCTGCGCGTATAGCTCTGGCATCCTCTGACGACTGTAGCTCATCTAGTAATGAACACAGGGCCTGAGATATCTCTGGTTTGATGGATGCCAGGGTGCGTGACCGTAACTCTGTGCCATACCTCTGCTTTACAAGCTTTGGCAAATCGCTGTGTATAAGACGAAGCCAAGTTAGAACAATTAAGTTTGCGATCATGGGAGAGAACTCCTCATCCTCTAGAATGGCTTCACCTCCGTGAGTAATGCCAGAGTCTCTGCGTAGTAAATTGTCCTCAACAAAAGCCATTAATCTCTGGTACAAATCCTCTGGCCCTTCATTAGACTCAAGCTTAATAGCAGCAAAGTCAATGAAATGTGCACCAGTAGATTGGAATCCATAATGTAGTCTGATAGTCTGCCATATGTTATCAATGCAAGTGGAGTTTTTAACAATAGTATTTCGGGAAATAACAGGGCAGTAGTTAGCGATCTGCCCCAGCATAAGCTCGAGCATGCTGACCTTTTGTTGGCGCGTGCGCCGTTGCGCCGTGGGAACATCGTCGTCGTCGTCATCGGTAAAACCTCTGAATGGTGAAGCCCTTGTCTTCTTTTCCCAGCGCGCGCCATCAACTAGAAAAGGAGCGAACTCATTGTCCAATGATAATGTGTAAACAAGGTTCTGACGCCAGTTCTCAAATGAATTCAGTCTCAACTTTCGTTAGGCACCACTGCTTAGGTGCTCTGTGTGTATTCGCCATGGCTAATATCTCGAGTGTCGTCAGCGGAGATAATCCACAACGCGGCTCGCTTTCGCGCGATTGTAGCGTGAATAGATCTCACGTGAGCTCACCGGAACGTTTGGGGAGTGAATATGATAACGCTGCCACCACGCCAGTGTGTAGGTGAGGTACATTGAATCGCTGACACGAGAGAATAGTTTAGTCAAGACTTTAATGGCGACGGCCAACACAACAATGACAAGAAGCCCAAGCGTGAGCTCCGCCCAGGCCAACGTGGTCACGAACAACGTCAGGAGTCACGTCACTTCTTCTTCTTCTTCTTCTTGAAATTTTATTGGCGGTTGACAAACAACAAAATGGTGTATTTCGGAGTCACGTCACGATCCACGACACACTTCACATACTGGCGCAGTGCATTGACATAAAAAAGGAAATTTACTTTTGAGTACTTTTAAAAGCTGTACTTTTACCTAAGTAAAAATCTGTCTTTGCAACGTTCACTTGTAATGGAGTAGCCTAATATTTGAGCAGCAGTATCTGTACTTTCACTCAAGTAATGGAATTGTGTACTTGGTCCACCTCTGCATATAATATTCTGTATTTTTAAAATATTCTGTTTATAATTTAAACATCATGAATATCAAAATAAATGGAAAATCATATTCCCAGCTAATAGAAAACGTTCTGGCAAGGTTCTCTCAAAGTTACGAACGAACGTTCTTCCAGTAACGTTAATAGAACGTTCTTTCAAAGTTATCTGGTCTTTGATATAATGTTACATGGACGTTCGTTTCATAAACGTTCCCACTTACCAGTTTTAGGTGGTTTAAAGAACATTCAATAGTAAATTCCCTTATGTTTGCAAAACAATCAAATACAACGTTCCCTTAATTTGGTCTTTAGCGTTCATATAAACAAGAAAAAACACTTAAAATAGTAAATAGTTTTGAAAATTCAGAGAGCAATCAAAAATAACGTTTTCATAACTTAATGGGAACGTTCTCAGAACATATTTTTTGTTATCTGGTTTGACAAAAGTGAAAATGATAAATCATCAATGCAGGATGACATCTTGAAGGTCCACGTGGCTTTTAAAGTATTTTAGACGGGTGTCAGTTTTCAGTTGATGCTGATGCTGCAGATTGGCGAGGGGCGATGCCGTGACGTCACGCGGGAGAGCCGATGGACGGGAGGAGGAGAGATGCGAGAACAGGGCAAGACCGGAGGAGCACGATAAAAACTGAGAAATGACTGCGCCAGAAAGCACGCAAAAACACGAAACGTTAAACAGCGGCGTCAACATGATGCGTCCTTCCGTCTGCTGTTTGCAAGCCAGTAATGCATGAAGAGCATCCCGGATAAAGGTAACATTTCTGTTTCCATCCGCGGCACGCCTCTCACAAAGAACACATGAGCGGAGTCGATTGTATAATCTTTACCTTCGAAGCGGAAGATTAGGGTGATCATTACACCGCTGAAGTGCAGCCGGGGTGGTCAAACAGAAAATAAACACGTCTAGCTCTCCATGCAAGCATCCTTCTTTCCATCCATAATTAAACATTTTATAAATCAACGATTATGTGCGCTTTTTACTCTCGCATAATAGAGATAACCTCGCGCATTTCTCAGAAGTGTGCAGGAACGAGGCTGCAGTTATGCGTTTTGCTTCCTCAGCTATGGAGAGACCACATGTGCAATGCGCATCTTGACAGTGGAGCTGCGCATTGGTTGCAGTACGTCGTGTCCACGAGGGGAGAAGAAGTGTCATATCACTGACCTCTTTAAAGCACTGGCGCTTCAGCACGATACTTCACTGCTAATTTGATGTATAAAACCGCTATTGTGATGCTTTTCAAGTAATTGTGTTATTTTGCTCTCTATCTCAATGTCACCATGACCTACACTCTTAAAAATAAAGGTTCTTTACTGGCATTGCTGGTTTCTTAAGTAGCCTTTAACATCCATGGAATCTTTCCAGGTTCTTTATTGTGGAAAAATAAAATAATCTGTTCTTCACAGCTGACAAGGAATGTTCTCAGAACTTTGGCTATACCTGCCTGCAAGGTTCTCTCAAAGTTATGAACAAATGTTCCTGCAGTAACTTTAATAGAATGTTGGTTCAGAGTAATCTGGTCTTTCATTATGTTCTCAAAATGTTAACACAAAAACATTATTTACACATCACTCATGGAACTTTTTTTTTTACTAAAACAATTTAGATGGATGTTCATCTGACATTTTTTGAAGTGTTACTGTTACTACTTGTGTCAGAGAACATTCAAAAGTGACATTCTCATAAAACTGGAATGTTCCCTTAACGTTTGTATAACCGAGAAAAAAACATGTTTAAAATAAAACATTTAAAAATGGATGTTTTGAACGTTCAGAGAACATTTTAAATGTTTCCATGACGCTTGCAAAATGGTAAAACTGGAATGTTCCTTTAATGTTCGCATAACCAAGAAAAAAACTTTATAAAAAAAGTTTTAGGTCATTCCTCCTGGTGGAATGACCTGCCCAAATCAATCCGAGCAGCTGAGTCCTTAGCCATCTTCAAGAAACGACTAAAAACACATCTGTTCCACCTTTATTTGACCCTCTTACTCTAGCACTTTCTATTCTATTTTAATTCTACTTTATCTATATTTATCTTCTTTGTGTGTGTGTGTGTGTGTGTGTGTATGTGTGTGTATAATATATGTATGTATGTGTATATATATATATATATATAT